TGGCCAACATGGGGAAACCCCATCTCTATTAAAAATACAAAAAAAAAATTAGCTGTGTGTAGTGGCAGGTATAATCCCAGCTACTAGGGAGGCTGAGGCAGGAGAATCACCTGAATCTGGGAGGCAGAGGTTGCACTGAGCCAAGATTGCACCATTGTACTCCAGCCTGGATAATAAGGGTAAAACTTCATCTCAAAAAACAAAGAAAAAAAAACCTTGCAATGTCTACCTAAATCACACTAGTATTTGTGGATCTTCACAAAACCGCCCTTAAGGAGTTTTCCTTTGTTGAGACCCTGTACTATGAGCACACTTAACTCCATCAGCATCACAGAAAGGCCTTGGTCTTTGAGAGCAAGCTCTTAGCTCCAGATCTCTCACAAAGACCAGTTCCAGAAGAAGCTCAGGTGAGCATACTTGACATTATTCCAAGAACCATTTTCCACAGCTCTGCAGCCAAATCTGCCAGCTGAGTTAATTAAGTAAATAATTCATAGATGGGTCTCACTTGTTGCCCAGGCTGGAATGCAATAGCTGCAACCATAAACCTGCGGGCTCTAAGTGATCCTCTTCAGTCTACCAAGTGGCTGGGACTGTAGGAATATGGCACTACAGTATACTCAGCTATGTTTTTGTTTTTGTTTTTTTTGAGACCAGGCCAGCCTAGTCTTGAACTCCTAGCCTCCACCAGTCCTCCCACCTCAGCTTTTTAAAGTGCTGGGATTACAGACATGAACCACTGCCAAATAAACCAGCCCAGTCCTGTTAGACATGAGGTCTGTAGTTTCCAGTCGGTTCTTGAGTCTAGGGTTCCTACATCATGTTTTTTGGTTTTGTTTGTTTGTTTTGAGACAGAGTCTTGCTCTGTCGCCAGGCTGGAGTGCAGTAGCCCGATATCTGCTCACTGCAACCTCCGCCTCCTGGGTTCAAGTGATTCTCCTGCCTTAGCCTCCAGAGTAGCTGGGACTACAGGCACGTGCCACCACACCCAGCTATATTTGTATTTTTAGTAGAGACAGGGTTTCACAATGTTGGCCAGGATGGGCTGAATCTCTTGATCTCGTGATCCGCTCCTCTTGGCCTCACAAAGTGCTGGGATTACAGGTGAGAGCCACTGCACCTGCCCCTCTACCTCATGTTTTGAGGTAGGTGGGACCACAGGTACGTGCCACCACACCCAGCTAATTTTTTATAGTTAATTTGGGGGAGGGACTGTGTCTGTTTATCTGGGGAGGTAGGAACCGGCAGGGAGATGGAGGGGAGTTGAATTAATAAAACCAGAAGCAAACCTCAGTTGAAGATACCAGCCATGAGAATGGCCACGTTTTGGCCAATCTGACATAATGTGTGAGATATTGTTATAACCCCATCCTTGAGAGTCTTCTCTAAAGCTACAGGGACTTGGGAGCATCTTTAATCACAGACAACCCATGTTCCTGCAGATTATGGTTTATTAGATTGCACTTGCCTAAATAAAGACATCCTCCGCAGTCTTAGACAATTCTATAAGCATCTTCTGAGTCTGCAGTTCGACAGCTAAGAGGTCTGTGTTACTTCCTTCACATATATAAATAATTTTAAATAAAAATCATGGCGTGAATAATTTATTTCCTCTATCGATTTGAAGCTCTCCATTTGGAAGATCACTCTGAAGAAATGAAATAAGTCTTCTGCCAAAAATTACTTATCAATTTACAAGGAAAGGGGAAAGTTTTGTTCTTCTCCTTAAATTTGACTGAAAATCTAGGGCTTTCTCAAATAGTTTTGGTAACCAGGGCCATTTTTCATTAAAAAGCGAAAAGTCATGTGAAATATGAATTTCCCCAGATCATTTAACATGAAACTCTGGGAGATCCTGTACAGAGGGGGTTTGTTATAGTCAACTTCTCTGGGTAAAACAAACACAAATGCTCATCGTCCGAGGGGCGGGGGCGGTGCCTAGGTGATGCACCAATCACAGCGCGCCCTGCCCTATATAAGGCCCCGAGGCCCCCTAGCGTTTTACGCTCTTCGCTGGCTACCACTTAGTGTCCTTCTCTGCTGGTATGTCTGAAACCGTACCTGCAGCTCCTCGCGATTCTGTTCCAGCAGCTATGGAGAGGCCTCTAGCCAAGACGCGAGGGAAAACATCTGCTGCCTTCACAGTTGTAAGCCGCAAAGCGCCCAACCTCTCTGTGTCCAAGTTGATCACCGAGGCCCTTTCGGTGTCACAGGAAAGAGTAGGTATGTCACTGGCTGCACTCAAGAAGTCACTGGCTGCTGCTGGCTATGACGTGGAGAAGAATAACAGCCGCATTAAACTGTCCCTCAAAAGCTTAGTGAACAAGGGAATCTTGGTACAAACCAGGGGTACTGGTGCCTCCGGTTCCTTTAAGCTCAGTAAGCAGGTCGCTCCTAAATCTACCAGGAGTAAGGCCAAAAAGTCTGCTTCTGCCAAGACCAAGAAGCTGCCTTTATCCACGGACTCCAAGTCGCCAAAGACCGCTAAAACCAGTAAGAAAGCCGAGAAGCCGAGGGCGACAGTTCCTAAAAAGGCTGTTAGAAACGGGAGAAAGCCTAAAGGAGCCAAGGGTAAGCAACAGCCGAAGAGCCCAGTGAAGGCAAGGGCTGGAAAGCCAAAATTGACCCCACGACATAAAACTAATGTTAGAAAGGCCACATCTAAGAAGTAAAGAGCTTTCCAGGAAGCCGATTGAGAAAGAACCCAAAGGCTCTTTTAAGAGCCACCCACATTATTTTAAGATGGCGTAACACTTACGTTACTGACAGTAGGTTTTAAGTTGTGATGGGCTGAGATGAAAAGTCTTGAGGTGGGAGAATTATTTCAGGCCACGCTTCGAGGTCAGCCTGGGCAACACAGACCATTATACCAGGGGTCCCCATGCCCCAGGCCACGGACCGGTCCCGGTCCCTGTCCGTGGCTCGTGACAAATTGGGCTGCACAGCAGGAGGTGAGAGGTGAACGAGCATTACCCTGAGCTCCACCACCTGTCAGGTTAGCAGCAGCATTAGATTTTCATAAGCGCGAACTATTCTGAACGGCACATGCAAGGGATCCAGGTTGCAGGTTCCTTGCGACAATCTAATGCCTGATCTGAGGTGGAACGGTTTTAGTCCGGAAATCACTGCCCCCAGCCCCTGCACTTTCTGGTCTGTGGTATAATTGTCCTAGACGAAACCAGTTCCTGGTGCCAAAAAGGTTGTAGACTGCTGGTTTTACAAAAGAGTAAATTAGCTGAGCATGGTTGGCACGCTCCTTTAGACCCTGCAACTCCGGAGGCTAAGAAGGCAAAAATCCCTTGAGCCCAGAAATTTGAGGATGCAGTGAGCCATGATCTTGCTACTTAACTCCAGCCTGGGTGACAGCAAATGAAACCTTGTCCAAAACTTAAAAAGTTAGAGAAAAAGGGTTTCTTGTCAGAGACATGGTATATACCTAAAGGTCCAGGAATTGAACAGTCTGATGTCCAATCCTGAAAAGCTTGATGGTGCACTAGAGTAGGCTTTTACATATAAGAGCATCTAAGTTCTGAAAATGCCATTGTTTGCTGAGGAAGGGAGTGGAGAGCAATTCGGTATCCAAACAATGATATGCTGATTTTTTTTTTTTTTTTTTTTTTACACAAGTACTACATTCTAGTCTTTTCCTGTGGTGTCATTGTAACTATTGGTTCTTAGTATGGTGTCCACCGACTTCAAGGGATCAATAAATAAGAATCAAGGTCTCCCAGAATATGGATTTAGAAATACTGCTGTTACATTTGATATATATCAACAAAAACACATTAGCGTCAAGTGGTTTGATCGTTATTTTAATATTACTGGCGAAACAATTGTAACCCTATGAATTTAAGTATTTTCTTGATGAAGAGGCTGTAGGTTTCAGCAGACTGCCAGAGCATTGTGCAGTCCAAAACATTTTAAGAATCCAAAACTTCATGAAAATGTTAGAGGCTGCCCAGTTAGGATCTGAATTCAACCTTTCTAAACCACAAAATTGTTCCAACTCTCGGGGTCTGAGCTAAAGTATCTTAGCTAACCTGCCTGACACAGCAGAGAGCTCTTTTGTCTAAATGCTGTGCCCAGCAGTGGACTGTCCCTAGCTTCTCATCACAGACAGTGAGGGTGAACGACTAGCCTCTCCCTGCAGTTGGCCAGTCTCTCAACAATATGGGAATCCCTCTGGAAGACTTTCTGCACCTTTGCTCCTCTGGCCTTCTAGTGCCTGGCATACATAAGGTTAAAAACAGTTAACCAGCTATGTTGTTCCTCCAGTTTTGGGGACTATTAGACCACTTAGTTTTGGCCAACAGGACAATGGCCATAGAACCCAATCCTCCTGCAAATGAGAGCTTGTCCCTAAACATGCTTAATTTACATAGCTGTGTGCTGCATGAGCCAAAGCGTGCTAACCTTTGTTCAACACATGCCTCCAGCCACCGGGTTAAGTGCAAAGTATCATTCTTAGAATGCTTTCAAATGCATGTGTTTTGAGAGGGAGTCTTTATCGCCCAGGCTGGAGCGTAGTGGCTGCGATCTTGGCTTACTGCAACCTCTTCCTTCTGGGTTCAAGTGATTCTTCTGCTTCAGCCTCCCGAGTAGCTGGGATTACAGACCCAGGCCACCACGCCCAGATTTTTCTGCTTTTGGTAGATATGGGGTTTCACCAAGTTGGCCAGGCTGGTCTAATTCCTGACCAATTGATCCACCCGGATTGGCGTCTCTAAGTGCGTGAGACATAGCACACAGAAAAATTCTTTAGTGGAGTCAATTGCTCTTATTAGAGATTTCCTGTCTAGACCTACTTTCTGCTTAAAAAGTACTTATCAAAATGTGCAGTCAGGTAAACAGATACAATACCAAATAAAACCTAATATGCCCGTCAGCAGTCTTATGTAGGATGCCGCAGTGAACTCTGCTATCCAGACTTAAACATTTTTGCAACATATTTCAGCTCTTTTAAGTAACTTCGTGGGCGGCCCTGAAAAGGGCCTTTTTTGTTTAAAGTTTCCTGGAGACCGTTTCAGCCGCCGAAACCATACAGAGTGCGCCCCTGACGTTTTAGAGCATATACGACATCCATGGCAGTGACAGTCTTGCGTTTCGCGTGCTCCGTGTAAGTGACAGCATCTCGAATGACGTTTTCCAGGAAAACTTTAAGCACACCTCGAGTCTCCTCATAAATGAGACCAGAAATGCGCTTGACGCCACCGCGCCGCGCCAATCGGCGAATAGCCGGTTTTGTAATGCCCTGGATGTTGTCCCGGAGGACCTTACGATGTCGCTTAGCGCCACCCTTCCCCAAACCTTTACCGCCTTTGCCGCGACCAGACATGATTCCTATCGCAATGGGAAACCTGAGCTGACCCAGTCCCTTAAATACGAACTTGGCGGACCTGATTGAAAACAAATGATTTGGCGCGGATTTTTTTCAAATTAGGTTAGAGTGGGTGGAGCAAGAAAACTCTTTCATTACAAATTCATTGTTTTGATTGGCCAGTGAGACCTCGCTCTTCGTGAGGGGGAAGGGTGCCTACAAGTTGAATACACTGTATTCCTGTCAGCCTGAAGACGCTAAACACACAGCTCCATTCCACGTTCATTTTTATTTCCACATAGTAACTAATAAATTAGGGAATAGTTTATTGGGGAAAGTACAAATGATGTTTAGAGGAGGTCAGATTTATAGGTCAAGGGACTTACCCTCTCAATCATTTTAATATTTTTATTTAAACGGTGGCATTTTGATACCCGCCTCTGTGCTGAACAAGGTATAAGTTTTGTTATGAAGTTTCGCTCCTAAAGACCAGAGGTTTGGGAGGTCAAAAATGTAGCCAAAATAATTGCAAATTAAAACCTCATAAGTGCAAACTTCCTCCTCTTCACCTTCCCTATCTAGATTCAAATATTTATTGAATGGCTCGTTTTTCAGCAAAAGTCTATGAGAGAGGCAGGGAACGTAAACATAAGTCTGGATAATGTTTTCTCTGGACACTCTTCCTGGCCTGCTGTGCCTGTCTACTATACCTGCAATTTCACTCTTCCCTTACCTCCATTATTAATCCCCTATCAACTTGCCCCAGCTTCAGAGAAAACAACTTACGTTTTGTATAGTTGGGGATTAATTGAAGTGTAGGGCTAATACTTGATTAAGGTCATTACAAAGTCTACAGGGTCCTCCTCTAGGAGGTTTTGTGATAAGATTATTGGTGTTAAAATAAGGCTAATCTCCTTTAAAACATAAATAGAATAGCAGAATTGGGTCTGAATGTGGTTTGAAGAGATCTCTCAATTCAAAATTTTCTTCTTAGCTTCCTGTTGCAGCTTTTGAAAATGCCCATAAGAAATCACTTTTGTTTAAAAAATAAAAACTTACCCCCACCCACCACCCTAGGTTTAATAAACAAATATCTACCGTGAATATTTAAAATAAGACTGTGGCCTGTGAGAGGCAATATATAGTAACCTCAGACTTGCTCACATGAAGATAAGAAATCCAGGAATGGAGAAAAAAAAGACTCAGGAAAGGCCAGAATGCTCTAAATATCGTATGGTTTGTATCACTTCTGACATAATTGATACATTCTTCTGCCCCAAATTGAGTTCTTAGGTCTTTTTCACTGTCACTATCCACATGTGGCAATACATACCTTATAATTGGAGGCTTAGCTAGGAAAAAATGTCAAACATTATAGAGAAAAAGTGCAGAGTCTGAGATCATAAGTAAAACTCTGAAATCTGAACCTGCTCTTTAATTCATGAAAATAAAAAATATGCAGCATATGCAATATTGTAATTCTCTGAAAACAGACATCATGTGAACTCCCCTGGAACACACCTCACCAAGTGCCATCTTCGTTTAAACCAGAGGTCTAGGATGCCTTTCCTTTATTTTGCCTATTATATCATTTATAAAACCCCATTTTTATTTTGATATTTTATTTACTTTCTATTTTCTACTCCTAATATCTCCTTTCAAAACTTTTCTCAATGACAGCGACTCAAAAACAATGAATGTCAGAACAGAAATATTTAAAGGATCTACACACACACACACACACACACACACACACATACACACACCCCTAAAATGGATTCCTCCATTCTGGGAAGAATTGAGGCATACTCAATCTTATGGTATGGGAGAGGGGAGGCTCACCTGCCGAATCTGTATGGCTTCCTGCTCACTTTCCATTTCACCTTCCTCTCACCCATCAGGTGAACTTCATTCACTCAACATGAGACCCAAGCCCTTCAGATTAAAACTCTGCCAACAACTTGTGGTTAAGAGGATATATGAACCTTTCGAACAAATAAACCTAGGATATTAATCAGAAGTCTTGTCCTGATGCAGTGGCTCACGCCTGTAATCCCAGCACTTTGGAGGGTGAGTTGGGAGAATTACTTGAGCTCAGAAGTTCCAGACCGTTTTGGGCAACATAGCAGTATTTCATCTATACTTAAAAAAAAAAATTACCAGAGGTCTTATGAAAATATAAATTGGCCAGAAGTACCCTCCACTAACTCTGTCAGAATATCCAAGTTGAGGAATGGAATGTGGTGTGTGTGTGTGTGTGTGTGTGTGTCTGTATGTGTGTTTGCACCTGTATATGACACCTGTATATTCAATAAATAATTCTGATACTTGGCCAGAGTTGAGAATGACCAGCAGTTCAGCATACACCATCGATTTTAAGTATATAATTGCGCTTTAGTAAAACGTAAGGAAATCCCACAGTAGAACTACTTTTGAGCTATATTACAGGTAAGAAAATGCATAAGTATAGTCTCACCCAACTTAGACTATGGGGCTTTACAACATCACAACAGTTATTTCCAGACACTGGGGGACATCACCCCTGGTCTTTGGCAAACCGCTCCTCTAGCCAGTGGCTGATGTATCTTCCTCCCATCTAAGGCTTCACTGCTTCTGTTTTTCAGAAACCCAACCTACTTATACACACCCATTTTCTGATTCATTTTTTTCTGTATTAAACTATCAATGCCATTGGCACATCTCTGGTTCTGTAGCACAACCTATGTCTCTGCTGGTTTTCCTTACCTCCACTCCTTAGTCTTCTAGAAAAATATCTCTGCCTTTTCTTTTCAGTTTAAATAATTTTACTAAAAGGTCTCTTAACTTGTACTTCGTAGGCTTGCTGTACTTGTGTGGACACTTTCCCATAAACACTGTTAATACACTTTGACTTATTAAAAATAAAGTTATTTGGACAGGAAATTCCTTTTCTTTTTTTTTTTTGAAGCAGAGTGTGGCTCTGTTGCCCAGGCTGGAGTGCAGTGTTGCGATCTCGGCTCACTGTAACCTCCACCTCCCAGGTTCAACAATTCTCCTACCTCAGCCTCCTGAGTAGCTGCGACTACAGGCACCAACCACTACACCGAACTAATTTTTGTCTTTTTAGTAGAGATGAGGTTTCACATTGACCAGACTGGTCTCAAATTCCCAACCTCAAGTAATTCACTGACTCAGCCTCCCAAAGTGCTGGGATTATGGGCGTGAGCCACCAAGCCCAGCCTTCTTTTTCTTTTCTGGTTCCTATTTTCTTTGGCCCAGGCTGAAGTGCAGTAGCACCATGACGGCTCATGGTAGCCTCCACTTCCCAGATTCAAGTGATCCTCCCACCTCAGCCTCCCAAGTAGCTTGCACTACAGGTGCACACAACCACACCTAACTAATTTTGCATGTTTTGTAGAGTTGAGGCTTCCCTCTGTTGTCCAGACTGGTCTTGAACTCTTGGGCCTAAGCAATCTAGTAAGCCACCAGATCTGGCTGGAAAGAGAATTTCTAACAGTATCCTCTCTTAAACATTTGTTTCAAAACTTTTACAAACTTTACAGTAATTAAATCTGATTTTCAAATTTCCCTTGAATACTTTCTTAATAGCACACAGAAAGCACAAAGCATTTTACATTTGTTGTGATGATTAAATTGTGAATCCAAACTTACACAAAGAAGAACCTGTAACATTACACCCATGCTTATAACAGATGCCCTCATAGACACAGTCAAGCTCTTGGCCAGTAGTGAAATTGGTTATTCACTGTTTCATGAAAGTGCCGTTATGCTAACTCAGTTTAAGGAAAAACTCAAGGATAATTAATAGACTAAAGTTAGCTAATGTGACTCCACTGAAAGTTATACAACTGTTGGTACTTATTCCCCTGCCCACAAATAATGAATTTAACACTCCAAAATTCTTTTTAGAATCTTCAGGCCAAAATCCAGAATTTGATTTTTTTAAAAAATAATTTAAAAATACTTTGAATCTAAAGCTGATGGATAAAATAACTTGATGCTTCAAGGCTGCCCATTCCAAAATTTCTCCCTGAATGATAAAGAGAATAAATGAATATGTTAATTCAAAAGTTAGAAATGTGGCCAGGCACCATGGCTCACACCTGATAATCCTTTTGGAGGCTGAGGCGTGTGGATTGCCTGAGCTCCACAGTTCAAGACCAGCTTGGGCAACATAGCAAGAACCTGTTTCAACAAATAATAGAAAAAATGAGCAAGATTTGGGCGTCCCAGCTACTCGGGGGGCTGAGGTGGGAGGATCATTTGAGCTCAGGAGTTCGAGACTGCAGTGAGCCATAATCACGCTACTGCACACCAGCCTGGGTGTCAGAGTGAGACCCTGTTTTAACAATAAAAAAACAAGTTAGAAATTTGGCCAGCTGCAGTGGCTCACGCCTGTGATCCCAATACTTTGGGAGGCAGAGGAGGGCGGATCATTTGAAGTCAGGAGTTCAAGACCAGCCTGGACAACATGGCAAAAACCCCTTCTCTATTCAAAATACAAAAAAAGTAGCCAGGCATGGTGGCATGCACCTTTAGTCCCAGCTACTTGGGAAGCTAAGGCAGGAAAATCACTTGAACCCGGGAGATGGAAGTTGCAGTGAGTGGAGATCACGCCACTGCACTCCAGCCTGAGTAACAGCGTGAGACTCTCTGTCTTAAGAAGAAAAAAAAATTCTGTACGAACAGAACAAAATATCCTTAAATTTAAAAATACATCTGAAAGATGTTTCAAAATATTTAGGAAAAAAGTTATAGGGATCAGGCAAATTCTGAGATTCCTCTTTCCCTGCAATAAACATCAGGAGTGCTGCTGTTCCCAAAAAGATGGTAACAACTGCCACACCATATGCTACCCTGACTCAGACATAAGGTTATGTATCGGTTGTTCAAGAATGGCTGGAATAAAAATCCAGCACAATCATTTTCTTCACCAAGTCAACTAACCTCTCTGTGCCTTGGTTTCATAACAGCAACATAAGGATAACAGAGTAGCATCAATAGCTCCCACCGATCTCACAAGATACTGTGCAGGAATTAAAATAAGATTCAGAACAGAGCCTAATATCTAGTAAGTAATAATAATTGGCTGAAAAATAGTTTTCTTTAAAAATTATACATATTCATGAGGTAAAAGTACAATTTTGCTGCATTGATACAGTGCATTGTGGTAAAATCAGGGCCTTCAATCGATCCTGGAAAAAATTAGTTTAAGAAAAAAAATTATGTCATAAAAAACTTTTAATATACAAATTCATCCAGTCAAGAATTAAAAACTATAGAAGTATCAACTCTAAATATGCCACATCATCTATCTCTTCTATACCTATTTTTTTTTTTTTTGAGACGGAGTTTCACTCTTGTTACCGAGGCTGGAGTGCAATGGCGCGATCTCGGCTCACCACAACCTCCGCCTCCTGGGTTCAGGCAATTCTCCTGCCTCAGCCTCCCGAGTAGCTGGGCTTACAGGCGTGTGCCACCGTGCCCAGCTAATTTTTTGTATTTTTAGTAGAGACGGGGTTTCACCATGTTGACCAGGATGGCCTTGATCTCTTGACCTCGTGATCCACCTGCCTCGGTCTCCCAAAGTGCTGGGATTACAGGCTTGAGCCACCGCACCCAGCCTCTTTTATACCTTAAACAATTACTCAGAAATTAAATGCTTGAGATGCCAAAATGCTTCCATATGAAGCAAGAAATATATGTAAGGTGTCAAGGCATTCTAGGTTTTCTAATAAAATTGTCACACAAAATAATACTGTATTGATGTTCTACATGTTAGAGTGGAGAAGTCAATCACTGATGTGAAAAAGGAAAAGAACACATTATACACGACGTCTATAAAGAGAATCACAATTACAAATATCAGCCTGCATGGGAAAGTCTTTCATCTGAAAGTTAGAAATATTTCAGTGTTAGTCATTGTTAAATCAGATTCTGGTTTGAAAAAACGGTAGTTTAAAACCAATAGTTTTTAAGAAATTTGGGAATTTTAGAGACTGTTTTGCTTTTAAATGTGTGTGTTTGTGAAGAATGTTTTATAAAATATAGACAGTACTATAAGATATTCTAATTTTTCTGGCTTTATTAATAAATTCTTTATGGAATTAATTTGATGAATTTCTATATTCAGAATTTTCCATGACATAAATTTTTTCTAAAACCAATTTTTTCCAAGATGGATTGAAGACCCTGATTTCACCATAATGCAATATATCAATGTAGCCAAACTGAACTTTTACTCCCTGAATATACATAATTAAAAATTTTTTTTCCAGACAATTATTATAACTTGGCTGAAAAAATGATTACAACATAAGGATTTTGGCCTGTACCTCCCAGCCATCCTCAATCAGCTGCTGTACTTGACTCGATTATCAGAGTTGTTTTCCTGCTGTTGTATTCCCAATTCAGGCAGCTCAGCAGTGGCCTGTGATTCCAGCAATTGAAATAGCTGGTAAGTAGTCTCTGGTTTGTTTTCTCAAATTTTCAGGGGCTTTCTCTACAAGTGATTTTCAGCGCACACCCCTCCACCCATCGTTTATTCCTTTACCCTCAGGAAAACCCTAGCCACTCAATGCACCCCTGTGGTACGTTTACCTGTGGCCACCAGGTGTCACCCTTCTCTCTACCACCATGCTCTGTGAATGGTTTTACCGGAGGTGAATGATGAAACATGGTCTCTACTAAAAATACAAAAATTAACCGGGCGTGGTGGCGGACACCTGTGATCCCAGCTACTCGGAAGGCTGATGCAGAGAATTGTTTGAACCCGGGAGGCGGAGGTTGCAGTGAGCTGACATCGCGCCACTGAACTCCAGCCTGAGAAACAGCAAGACTCCGTCTTAAAAAAAAAAAAAAAAAACAAGGAATTTAAAATGTAGGTCTTTGATTTTTCAAATGTAGTTGACCTTAGGAATTTATGAATAGGCAGGGTGCAGTGGCTCACGTCTGTAATCCCAACACTTTGGGAGGCCAAGGCAGGCAGGTCACCTGAGGTCACAGTTCGGGATAAGCCTGACCAATTTGGAGAAACTCAGCCTCTACTAAAACAAACAAAATTATCCGGGTGTGATGGCACATGCCTGTAATCCCAGCCACTTGGGAGGCTGACGCAGGAGAATCGCTAGAACCCAGGAGGCAGAGGTTGCTGTTGAGACGAAATCCTGCCATTGCCACTCCAGCCTGGACAACAAGGGTGAAACTCCATCCTAAAAAAAAAAAAAAACAACTTATGAATAAAACCAGAAAAATTGAGCTAAGAAAAAAAGAAAAAAAAAATGAGGACTCATAATTTTTGTTAAAAAAATTAACAGGCCATAGTTCGTGATACTTAGTAAATGTGTTACTGTGAAGACGGGGGTTTCTTGAAATCTCACCCCATGTGAAATGAATCCAATATAACACAAGTGATTACATAATTAATTGTAACATATTATTTATGAAACAGAAGAGTAAGTGAAGGCTTACAGCACTCTGCTTTGAGTATAGAACAATATTAAGAGAGAAAGAATTTGTCATATGCTTCCAGAATGGTTTGTTGGTAAAATAACCAATGTCTTACAACTTAGATGATGTCCCCAGAGTGAAGAAAAATAATCAGTTTGGCTAGCACAGTTTAATGAGAATATTTCATAAAACAAAATGTAAAAAAAATAGAAAAATAAATGTCTCCAAAATGACAAAGCGATATATACACAAAGTGAACGAGAACATCAATAAAACCATGCAGTATACAATATACATTTATTAAGTATATGCATTTTTAATGCAACAATACTGAGGTAACACACGAGTTGTTAATAGTTTATCACTGACTAATGAAATCACAGAATTATTTTATTTATTTTTCAGCTTTTCTGCAATGAGCATAAATCACATTTACCTTTTTTTCTTCTTTTCTTTTTTTTGGAGACAGAGTCTCGCTCAGCAGTTCAGGCTGGAGTGAAGTCGTAAGATCTCACTCAATGCAACCACCACCTCCTGGGTTCAAGTAATTCTCCGGTCTCGGCCTCTCAAGTAGCTGGGATTAGAGGCACCCACCATCATGACTGGCTAATTTTGGTATTTTAGTAGAGACACGGTTTCACCATGTTGGCCAGGCTGGTCTTGAACTCCTGACCTTGGGTGATCTGCCCGCCTCGACCTCCCAAAGAGCTAGGATTACAGGCGTGAGCAATAGCACCTGGCCAACATTTACCTTTTTCTACATAGCTTTTCTAACCAGAAAAAAAAACAAAATGGTTTAAAATAAGAGACAAGATATCCTTGCTAAAATATAATGCCTACAAAATAAACTTTTGAGACACAAGACAGAATGCTTGTACCATTTTTATGCAGCCAAATGCATGTAGCAACATAAAGTAAACACATGCCATCTGGCTATATATATTAAGACTCTTTTGAACATGGTCAGGTGAATCAATTTCCCAGAATCCAGCAATTCCTGAGTGTCCTGGTTAGATTTTTTTTAATGTGCACCAGAACCTCAGTGACCCCAAGACAGGGCCTGGGCATCCTCTACACTGCTTGGTGGCTTCCACTGTGCCATCTCAAAATGAAATCGCTTACTACAGTTCATCAAGGGAAATACCACCAGAGTTCTGACTCCAGAGGCACTGGCCTAGGGAAGACACTGCACGTGAAGGCCCAGCAGGGCTACTAGCTGTCCCCACCAATCACAGTCCTTGTATAGGAGCCAAAGAAATGAATACCAGAAAGAGCAACAGAGGGGCAAGGGAGTCACATTCCATCTCCTTCCCGCAGGGATTTTGAAAGAAAACATGACAGCTGAGGATCAACTGGTTGTTTTCTGCTCTTTCCCTTCAATTTGATTCACTCTCACACAATGAGGCCGGCATGGTGCCTATAATCCCAGCACTTTGGGAGGCCGAGGTGGATGGATCACGATGTCAGGAGTTCAAGATCAGCCTGGCCAACGTGGTGAAACCTTATCTCTATCAAAAATACAAAATATTAGCCAGGCGTGGTAGCGGGCACTTGTAATCCCAGCTATTCAGGAGGCTGAGGCAGGAGAATTGCTTGAACCAGTGAGTGGAGATCACGCCACTGCACTTCAATCTGGGCAACAGTGAGAGGCTCCATTTAAAAAAAAAAAGAAACACAATGAGACAAGAGAAGAGCCATCTCCTTCCTTCTCTATTTACTATAGGCATCTACCTGAATGTAGTGGTGTATGAGATGTATCCAAATAGTCAGAATGACTGAGTTTGAAACATGTTTCTATCACTGGCTAGCTATGAAATACTCTACACTTCACTTTCTTTGTCTAAAAAAGAAATGTGGTAAATAAATAGTACCTATCTCACAGAATTATCATAAGAATTACATGCAATAATGCTTGTAAGTAGGTGTTCAGAAGAGTGAGACACCAAGTAAGTGCTTTTATCATCACCTTCTGGTAATTTTCATTATCAGAACAAAGAGAGGCAAGGTAGAAAATTATTTTAATACTTCAGGTCTGGAATGCTAGAGTAGCATCCCAATGCAGGCACTGATACACTTTTAACACCTGTAGGACACCTTCATGCAAATTAGGAAAAGACACCTCTTCACGCAAATTAGAAAAAGACACCTCTTCACAACCCCTTTAAAGATACTTGCCTCCTACCTGCTAAAAACACCCATTGTAATACCCACAGACATCCATGAAGCTTTTTCTGGGAAAGGTGCCTCTTCCAGTTGTGTGGTGTGCAGCCTGCATAGCTGTCCAACCCACAGCACAATCGGATGGAAGAGTCCCCATGGCTTGGTGACAGATGAGTTGCTGGGTAATCCTGAGGGAAGATCCAAAGGAAAAGTTGAGCGGGTCCAGAAAATACCTAGATATGTATGTAAAACTCTGGTAAGATTATGACATCTATGTCCCAGGGTTCAAAGGTTTTCTCAGATGTTAAAATGAATCATGTAAGACCCCAACATTAAGCAGTCCTCTTCCAAAAATAGGACATGAGATGACATAGGTGTGCCTGAGGTGATGGAGGAAATGAAGAAAGCCTCTAGATGCAGCTTGAGGTTCATGAGAGGCAGTTCCAGGGGAGAAGTCATAGCTAGGGACCACTGGCATACAGAAACTCAAAAACCGAGATGGGGAAATCTTTTGGAGGAAATGAACAGAGAAGGCTAAAAGCAAAGAGTTCTTCAGGCAGTTTCCATTTTTAGGTTCAACTCTGTCCTGAAACACGAAGAGCTCTGTAAGTGCACTTCCTTTTTCAGTCTCTAGTTCTGTCTCCTTCCCGTATGTGTCTACAGGCTGTGTGTCACTCACATTCGGCTAAGACGTATTGCCCCACGGCTCCTCCTGTGGAGATAAGAGACCCAGGACACAGGCATCACAAACCTAGGCATCATCTTGACTCTTCTCTGTCCCTTATTTTCCCTATTCACCCATCCCAATTGACACCACCCTCGTCCTGGGCACTGTTGTATTTCAAAAAACATTGTCCCTCATCTGGAATTGCTTACTGACTTTCTAACTGGTGTCCTCACCTCCCATCTAACTTCTTAACAACACATTCACCATGTAAGGGAGATTGTGGCTCTCCTTTCTTAAGACCCTTCAATGACACCCCAGTGATGATAACCCAGTGTCTCAAAAGACACTAGGACTCTGTATGCACTGGCTTCTATCTGCCTCTCTTTTCCCCACACCACACATGCTCGGGGTGTAGAAAGGCATAACTGGTGGCTGACAGTTATGCAAACTCAGGGTCAAGGTACAGTCATTATTTCTAACCTCCCAGTATGCCTTACAGTCCTCCACTTATCATGGTTGCTCTGTCTGCGTAGACCTTCCATCATCTTCAACCTCACCTAATGGAATCTCCCTTCTCCCTCAAGATCCGGAAGGCTTTCCTTATCCCAGCTGAATGTGATCATTCTTTCCTTTGACACCCTAAGTATTTGCTCCCTGCCTGCCTTAGGACCTCATGGGGTCTTCTCTAGCCACATTTACTTGCCATCAATTTCACACCCTACCAGATTTGGGTTCTGAGAATAGCCACAGTGACTTCTCAACCTCAAAGCCCCTGCACTACCTTAAACCACTTGCAAAATAGTAGGTGTTCTGAGATGTTTGTTGAAAGTTGAAACTTTCATTCTGGGGAGAACCATTAATTTCTGTCTTCCAGGGAAGTGCTGGTGTTCCCAAAGACTATAAAAGAGAGGCTGGGTGCAGTGGCTCACGCCTGTAAGCCCAGCACTTTGGGAGGCCAAGGTGGGTGGATCATGAGGTCAGGAGTTTGGGACCAGCCTGGCCAAAAAATTAGCTGGGCGTGGTGGCACGTGCCTGTAATCCCAGCTACTCAGGAGGCTGAGGCGGGAGAATTGCCTGAACCCAGGAGGCGGAGGTTGCGATGAGCCAAGATCGTGCCATTGCACTCCAGCCTGGGTAACAAGAGCGAAACTCCGTCTCAAAAAAAAAAAAAAAAAAAAAAAAAAAAAATATATATATATATATATATATATATAAAAGAGAGAAATGCTTCCCATGGATGCCAGATCCCCTCTGCCCTCCCTCTGCCCCTCTTCCAACTGTGCCCTGGGGAGACGTACGAACAGACTTCCTCCTCGTTCCTACTCACTTGAAGCCTGCCGCTTCCTTAAGATTATGAACAAAATTCCAATTAACAAGATGATGACACAAACAGCAATTCCAGTGACGACTGCAGCAATGAGGGTGCCAGAGTGCGAGGGCTCTAAAACACAGAAAGCAATTTGAAGCCTCTGAGAGCCACCCTCAGCCCACCCCCTAACAAAGAGCAGACCCTCATTTCACTGCCCTAATTATCACCTCGGGCATTCCTCCCAACCACCAACAGATTTTCTAAGCTCCTGGTTCTTATCAGTCACATACCCCAGATGGCAAGGAGGGGCTGATCCAGGCCTGGGTGCTCCACCTGGCATGTATATCTCTGCTCTTCCCCAGCGGGTACAGCCAAGGCTATCCAGCCCTGGTAGGTCCCATCCCCATTGGGCAACACGTCTTTAGGTTCAGCCTCCTCGGCATTCAGTGGCTGCCTATCCTTTAGCCACTTCATGGTGATGTTCCGGGGGTAGAAGTTCAGGGCCCGACATCGTAGAGTGGTCACTGAAGAGGTCACGTGATGTGTCACCTTCACCAAAGGACGCACTTAACAGGAAAGAGGAAGGATAAGCAGAGGGGATCATTTTTTTTTTTGGAGACGGAGTTTCGCTCTTGTTACCCAGGCTGGAGTGCAATGGTGCGATCTCGGCTCACCGCAACCTCCGCCTCCTGGGTTCAGGCAATTCTCCTGCCTCAGCCTCCCGAGTAGCTGGGATTACAGGCACGCGCCACCATGCCCAGCTAATTTTTTGTATTTTTAGTAGAGACGGGGTTTCACCATGTTGACCAGGATGGTCTCGATCTTTTGACCTCGTCATCCACCCGCCTCGGCCTCCCAAAGTGCTAGGATTACAGGCTTGAGCCACCGCGCCCGGCCTAGTGGGGATCTTTTTACCCTTGCCAGGAAGGCTGGAACTTTCATTTCCTTTTCTGTGTTAGAGTAAGGAAATACCCTTTTCAGGAAAAAAAAAAACAAAAACAAAAAAACAAGCTGCAGGAAAGACACTGTTTTGTGTCCTAAGATTGGGCTCTGACACAGTGTCACTTGGAGCACGGTCAGATCAGTCTGTTCTCTTGTGCAACATGTAAATATACCTACCTGTTACCCATGTTCTCTGTTCTGACAAATAAAACTCCCCTTTATGTGCATTGTGAATGATTGAATACGGATGGTCAGTTTCACCTGGATAAACCCACCAGGCATATTTTAAAGAAGGGGTCTTGTGGCCCAGTGCACTAGCTCATGCCAGTAATCCCAGCACTTTGGGAGGCTGAGGCAGTCGGATCACTTGAGGTCAGGAGTTTGAGAAAAGCCTGGCCAACATGGGGAAACCCTGTCTCTACTAAAAATACCAAAAAAACCCCACAAAAACAAAAAAAAAAACTAAACAGGCATGGTGGTGGGTGCCTGTAATCCCAGCTGCTTGGGAGGCTGAGGCAGAAGAATTGCTTGAACCCAGGAGGCGGAGGTTGCAGTGAGCCAAGACCGCGCCACTGTACTCCAGCCTGGGTGACAGCGAGACTCTGTCTCAAAAAAAAAAAAAAGTGGGGCCTTGTAAGACAGATAGCTTTGGTGATGATCACTACATTCTGTGAAAGAAACTTTTAACCTAAAGGAATTTGCTACTCTGATAGGTGGCCTCACTTGGAATTTTTTTGTCCTGGTATTCATATAAGAGTTGACATCTCTGAATTTTTTTTTTTTTCGTGTGTGTGTGTGTGTGTGTGTGTGTGTGTGTGTGTGTGTTTATTTTTGACATCTCTGAATTCTTAACAGGTATAAATATACAAAGGATTATTGGTTAAATCAAAACAAGGGCTGCAGACACTTCCCTTTCAGCCATATGTATGTATTACTCATGGCTGTCTCATGCATCTCAATTATAAGGTAGAGACTCTAGGATTGGGAAAGTCCCTTCCCAGAACGTAGAGAGGCATATAACGTCGCCACCTCTGAAACCCCACCAGGGATTCCATGTCCTGCATCCTCTTCCACTCTGCCACTAGAGTGTGGGGGCAGAAGGCTGTTTCCACCATACCTTGCTGGTCCAGAACACCTCTCCCCAGTTCTAGCAACTGCTGCAACTGTGCAGGGCAGTCCCTCTCGAGGTAGGCCCTGTTCTGCCTGGCCCGAATCTTGTGCGCTTCCCACTCCAGCTTGGTGGGCCAGGCCCTGGGCTCTGCTGCTCTCCAATCCAGCGTGTCAGAGCAGAATTCAAGGTGGTCCTGCCCATCATACCCATACTTCCAGAAGCCCTTGGTGCTGTTGTCCTCTTGCATTTCGCAGCCCAGGATCACCTGCAGGGTGTGGGACTCTGGAAAAACCCCCAGCCTTGTTACTGCAACCAAAGGAGTAGGTCCCTATTTCCACCATCCCCAATGACCAAATGATCTCAGGAAGAAAATTCCTTCCCTCTTCCCTGCTCCCACAACACCTCAGACTTCCAGCTGTTTCCCGCAAGATGCATGAAAAGACGAAACGCTCTGACAGCCTCAGAAAGATGAGGTCACCTCTCCACATACCCTTGCTGTGGTTGTGATTGTCCATAATAGTCCAGAAGTCAACAGTGAACATGTGATCCCACCCTTTCAGACTCTGACTCAGCTGTAGCCACATCTGACTTGAAGTTCTACTGGAAACCCATGGAGTTCGGGGCTCCACACGGCGACTCTCATGATCATAGAACACGAACAGCTGGTCATCCACGTAGCCCAAAGCTTCAAACAATGAAAGACCAAGGTCCTGCTCTGAGGCGCCCATGAAGAGGTAGTGCAGAGAGTGTGAACCTGGAGACAGAGCAACAGGCCTTCACCATGTGCAGCAGGAGGGGGCCGGGAGGTTGAGGCTCCACACACCTGAATCAACTCATACCATCAGCTGTGTCTGATTCTCAGTCTGTGAAGGGTGAGATGTAGTCCTGTCTTTCCATCCTGGCTGCTCTCTCCTTGTGCACCTTTCTCTGCCACATGGGGCTGCCTCCCCTCATTGCCCCTAGACCCTGTTCCATTACTCATGATTGGACAGCCTCCACTAGAGCTGGTGGATTCTAGAAAATGCTAACGTGTCTCTGGCCGTAGAAATTGAACTAAGGAGTTGGTGCTCAGAGCAAATTTGACCCAAATCCTGAGGAATTCATTCATGTAGGTTTGTTTTTTGTGTTTGTTTTTTTAACCAGCTTCATAGCTAAACCTTCTCATGTGCAACTCTTTTCCCTGAACTGCTGTGAGGATGTGCTGATAAATAGCTCAGAGTAACTTTTCTGGATCACAATAGGGCAAAAGCAAATACAGGAGTCCCCCAGAAAGATGAAGGGACAAGACCTCTCGGCAAGTGAGAGTTTCCCAACACCCTTCCTCAATTACAGAATGAGGGGTTCTTGGAACGTATCCCCAGTGCCTAGAGGGGCTCCTGGCATGTAGTGGGTGCTTCAGAAATACTACCTGGAAGAATAAACGATGACACCTAGATTTTTAAGATTTTAATTTTTTTCTTTTTGAGATGCAGTCTCTGTCACCCAGGCTGGAGTGCAGTGGCACAGTCTCAGCTCACTGCAACCTCCGCCTCCTGGGTTCAAGAAATTCTCCTGCCTAAGCCTCCTGAATAGCAGGGACTACTGGCACGCGCCACCACACTCAGCTAATTTTTATATTTTTAGTAGAGATGGAGTTTCACCATCTTGGCCAAGCTGGTCTCGAACTCATAACCTCAAGTGATCCGCCCGCCTCGGCCTCCCAAAGTGCTGGGATTACAGGAGTGAGCCACCGCGCCCACCCTTGGCCCTGAACTCTCACACTGAACTGCCTTATGGCCTCACCGCTTGGATACCTGACTGCAATCTCGAACTCAACATGTCCAAATCCAGATCCTCGATTTACCCTAAACTGCTCTTTCCGCCGCATTCATCATCTCAGAAATGGCATTGCCAATTACCCCACTGCTCAGGCCAATACAGTTCAAGAACAAAGTCAGCTTTGACTCCCCTTTTTGGGGGGGTCAGGGGAGACAGGGTCTTGTTCCATCACCCAGAGTACAGCGGCACGGCTCACTGCAGCCCCAACTTCCTGGGCTCAAGCAATCCCCTCACCTCAGCATCTCAAGTAGCTAGGACTACAGGTGCATGCCACCACACCTGGCTAATTTTTCTATTTTTTGTAGAGAAGGGGTTTCGCCATGTTGCCCAGGCTGGTCTTGAACTCCCGAGCTCAAGAATCTGGCCTCCCAAAGTGCAGGGATTATAGGCGTGAGCCACCAAACCCAGGCAATTCTTCTCTTTCTCTCACACAACATAGAACCCTTCTGCAATCCAACTCTTTCCTGGACTCTGTGTCACAGCTTCCTGGCTAGGCTCCCTGCTGTTACCGTTGCTCCCTTCTTTCTGCTTTCCACGTATAAGCCAGAGCAGTCTTTGTAAAACCTATGACGGAGAGATCACTGTTACTCCTCACTAGCATTCACACCACAGCCTACAGGCCCTGTACAAGTCGTTAGTGGCTCCTCTTCTGAGCCCATTAACTACTTCTTGGCCTCTAGGCCGCAGTACGCCTTATGATTCTTTCAACCCTAGCCTCTTAACTAGGAGATTGTCTCCTAGGGGACATGTGGCAAAGATTACAGGCATTTTTGGTTGTCAAGACTGGAGAGGCCATTAGCTCTGCCACCAAAGCCCAGTGTACCATTGAGCTCATGCCTGTAATCCCAGAACTTTGGGAGACCGAGGCGGGCAGATCACGAGGTCAAGAGATCGAGACCATCTTGGCCATGGTGAAACCGTGTCTCTACTAAAAATACAAAAATTAGCCGGGGATGGAGGCACGTGTCTGTGGTCCCAGCTACTTGGGAGGCTGAGGCGGAAGAATCGCTTGAACCCAGGAGGCAGAGGTTTCAACGAGCCGAGATTGCACCACTGCACTCCAGCCTGGTGACAGAGCAAGACTCCGTCTAAAAAAAAAAAAAAAAAAAGACTGGGGGAGTGCTCCTAGCACCTAGTGAATAGGGAGGATGAGTGTCCCCAGCGCTTAGTGAGTAGGGAGGATGAGTGCTCCTAGCACCTAGGGAGTAGGGAGAACAGGATGCTGCTAGACATGCTGCATGCAGACGGCAGTCCCCCTTCACCACGCACACACACACGTGCGTGCACACACGCGCACACACACGCTTGAGTAGTGCTGAGAAAACCTGCTGTTTAATCTAACTTGCCCACTCAGTTTGCCTGGGAAATGCTGCTGGCAGAGAATATGCTAATTTCCTCGGTGTCTCTGCTCAAGCGTCGAGTGACTCGCCCTGACTTCTCTGCTTCTCACAGCACCTATCCTTTCCTGATGTAGATCTTTCTGCTCATTTGCTTACTGCCATCTCTCCCACTAGAATGTGAAATATCAAACGATAAAGGCTTCTTTCCCTGCCCTCTCCCTTGGGCTTACAACAGTGCAACACACGGTTGAAACTCATTTCCACTTGTAAACAATGAATATTTCAGCTCAACAGCAAATTTTATTATTCAACCTCTAGGGCAGTGTGATGTTTAAGAATCCTAGTTATGAAGTGGAGACATTAGCTCTGCCACCAAAGCCCAGTGTACCATTGAGCAAATCTGGGAATCAGGCGGTGCATGCCTTATTCTTGTCGTGTGTAAAATGTGGATACACAGTACCAACCCTCATAAAGTGCTGTGCTGAGGCTGGCACGTGACCCACAGAACACTGTGCCAGACTACAGGGCAAAATCACCGTTAACTAAGCTTAGAAGCAGCTGTAGTACTTGAAATAACATCAGAAAACCAGATTACTTATGTTCTTAGGAACCTGAAAAGAGTTATGTAACCTCAAGTCCGATTAACTTCTAGTAAATTACACTTATCAATAGCTCCTACCTCCCAATGCCTAGCGAAGGTCAAATAAGATCAGATATGAACAGGACTTACAACTGAGTGCACCGCTCACAGGCTCCCTATCAGTACTCGGACGTTCTTTAGAGAAGGCGCCTTAATCACACAGCACATTGCAAATCAATAAAGCCTAGCTGGAAAGGAAACTGTTCCGTTTAAACGTTCAAAACTAACAACATAAACCTAATTTTCCAGGCTCAAGAACCATTGCTAAGAGTGGGGAAAGGCCCGAGGTAGGCCTCTCTCCGGAGCCTCCCACCCCAGAGACCTCCACCCCAGGTCTCACCAACAGTGGGTGGAATGAGGACGAATTCAGATCCCCAACCCCACTCCCCCGCGCCCCACCGCCCAGCGTATTCGTTCTGAGGTGGAAACCCCGCGCGAGCCCCTCTGTGGGTTCGCTCGGCCTTCTAGGCAGGCACGCAAGGAAGAACTTCCTGTTTGGAGAAGACTGGGGGGGAAGAAACCACACAGCTGACACTGGAAACAATAAACCCGACATCCAGGTGCAAAGAGCCCCAGGCTTAGCTCAGCTCAAGTGAGAAACTACGAGATTTATTGAAAAGTATTCTGGTCGCGGGGAAGAGAGTGGGCGGTTCCAACAGCCACTCCGAAGGGTCTGGACTGCCAGGGGAGGGGTAGTTCCCAGGACGAGGGACCCCCATCTGCCCCTTAGGGACAGGCATTCCCTCCCAGGATCTGAACGCAGAAAGTAGGGAGGGGGGCGGCGGATAGGGCTGAGCAGGTCCTCCAAAGTGAGCAAACTCCCAAGCGCAAAGAAATGCTACTTTCGATTTTTCCACCCGCGCCGCGCCCCTATTTCGCCCGCAGCCCTCGGACTCACGCAGCAGGCGCCCCTGCGGGACCGCGGTCTGCAAAAGCATCAGGAGGAGAAGCGCCGGCCTGGCTCGCGGGCTCATTTCTCCGGCTCTGACCGCGGCCGCTGTAAATCTCCGCTTCTTTGCTGGGGCGGGGAAACGGGTGGCTTCAGAAGTCACCCTACGGCTATTGCCTACGCTCAGGAGACGCCCTGTAAAACTTCCCAGTGGAAAGCGAGAGGTCTTCAGAACGTGAATTCCCTCTCCTCCAGCAGAAGGTACCGGCCTGTGAAACCGTCGGCGATCCGGCGGCCCCTTGGTTTTTAAATCGTGAAGGGGTGTGGCTGACCGGGGAAAGTATCTTCGCACTCTTCTGATGAAGAGTTTAGATATTTAAATATTTAATAATTTCAGAATTCAATTATACATTTAAAAATGTTATCTCAACCTTAGACCAACTCGTATGTCTTATGTGATTTACAAATATAAAGCTTTTTCATTGTTTTTTGATTCGAATTAATTAAATAGTAACATTAACCAATTAGATCCTACGGAAATACCTTCCACAGCCTTCATGATGGAATTCTCCGACGAGTGTTTCACAAACTTGACAGCACTGGGATCACCTGGAGAATGATTAAACATACTGAGGCCTGATTTAACGGGTATTGTTAGGTAGTTAAACGGTAGCATCTGGGAGGAGATCAGGGGAGAGTGCAAAGGCTGTCACTAAGACAGCCACTGGTCCACCTAAGTTCAGCCCCAACACTACGCTAATTCCACCCTAAGGGATGGAGTTTGTGGTAGAGTCTGTGGCCAACACATCCTGGAGAAGGAAAAAGGAGGGCACAGGCAGAAATTCCCTAAAGTGGCACACGCCCAATGACATAAAACCCTGACCTCACGTTCATCCCAAAGTTCACCCTACCATCATTTTAACAGAATTTATATGTGGTTTTACTCCACCTCCCTGGGAGGCTTTTCTTAACGAATTATAGGTAAGAACATGCACAGTTTATATGGCTATAAACTGCCAATCAAATAACGTCATCCTATCACACAGACACAGCCAACTCCTCCCACAAACCCCATAAAGGCACTTTGAGCTCCATAAAGAGGTGCTGATCTCACTTTGCAGAAATGAGCCCTCTGTCTCTTTGAGGGTGTATTACTGTGCTCCAATAGAGTTTGCTTTCAGCTTGCATTTTGGTGTTAGTTTGCAATTCTCTGCTTACTAGCACAATAACCAAGACTGCTGGTTCAGAGCTCTGGCTCTATTAATCTCGTCAGTTAAAGGATCCATTCCCACACAGAATTCTCGGTAACCGTATGGGATGCCACCTGGGCACTGGGATTTTAAAACCTTTCCTCCTCCCTCAACGAAGCTTGGGAATTATTACCTTAGACATTTCAAACCATGTTGATAAATTTAATACACTTGATTTGCCCAAAACTTTACATATGTAGCAAATTCAACAGGCATTATTTTTATAAGCATGTGTGCAAATTTTGACAAGTTAAGAAAATCAAACTTAGGATATCAGGGCCTCAACTGTAGGTAAATAGTTAAAATAACAAGGGGAAAATGTAGAATATTGATGGTGGGCACATTGGGGCTGATAGTACTGTTCCTTTTTTCAATTTTTGGTAACATATAATTTATATATCATACGATTCATCTATTTAAAATGCAAAAATTAATGGATTTTAGTATATTTACAGAGATATGCAACCATTACCAAAATTTTACAATTTTCTATCTCCCCGAAGAGAAACCATGTACCCCAAATTCTCCGCATCCCTGATTCCTCCATTCTCCCCCTCCTCCCCTGCCAGTCCTAGACAATCATTAATCTACTTTCTTTCTATTTGGACCATTTAGTATACATAGACCCATATCATAAATGGCTTTGTTGTGACTGGCTTCTTTAATTTAGCATAAGGTTTTTATGTATGTTTTTCATGGACCAATAATTACTATAAGGACATGCCACAACATTTTATTTATTCATTCATCGGCTGATGGACATTTGTTTCCACTTTGCGGCTATGGGGAATAGTGCTGCTATGAACATTTATGTAGAAGTTTTTGTGTGGACTTAATTATTGATTTCTCTTGGTTATATATCTAGGAGTGGGTTGCTGGGTCATATGGGAACTCTGTTTAACCTTTTGAGGAATTGTCACACTGTTTTCCAAAGTAAGCATTTTATCCTCCCATCAGCAGTGTATGAGAGTTCTGATTTCTCTCCATCTTTGCCTGGGTCTTTGAATCAGGACCCCGGATAGAACAAAAATGTGATTATTCAGTTTTTCCACCATCATTTGTTGAGAAGACTTTTTCTTAATTCAAGTGTTTGTCGGGCTGGTCTTGAACTCCCGACCTCAGATGATCCGCCTGCTCGGCCTCTGATAGTGCTGGGATTACCAGAGTGAGCCACTGCATCAAGCTAACATACTGAACTTTTAAAGTATCCAATTAACTAATGAACAAAACTGCTCCAAATTTTTCAATTCTTAAAAATCTTAAGACAATACTTAATATGGCTAATCTCAACTCCACAAACTTTGTAGGAATGCTTATCAACTTAGATTGGTATGAAGTTGAGGTAAAAATTAGAATATACATTGTCTCGGCTGCAAGTTCTCATCAGTTGAATTCTAGCAATCATTTGAAACGCTTAGAATAGGAAATATGTATCAATTCTTTAACATAAAATATTGTTACAAGACCTCTGGGATGTCGGGTTTTCTGGCCAGACTTTATGCGGCAGCGCCTCTGCCTGAGTTCCTGTCCTGCATCTAGGAAGATCGAGGTACACAGGCAAGAGTCACGAAGTTCCAAGAAGCTCCAGTAGTTCAGCTCAGCTTGTCAACTCCTATTCACAGTCTTCAGAGTTATCTGAAACCTGCAATCAAGAGTTACAATCCATCCTTTGAAGAGTCTTAAAACAAGACAACATTTGTCTATGAATGTTAAAAATGTCCTAGGGCAGTCACAGTCAAAAACACAACTGGCAAAGAAATTTGGTCACCTCTGTGATTTACAATAAGCTAACACAATAACCCTGATTATGACTAGCAATACAAACTCAGACATCAGAGCTGTAGAAATTGCGTATAATTTTGGAACATGCATTAACATTTTTCACTGAAATATAACCTGAAGATCAAACACCGCCTGAGTTTAACAATCCTATATAATCAAATATTTCAAGTGATCCTTTTTACCTCTCCTTTGGACACTGTAGGGGATGCTACTCCTCTGTAGCATCCAAAAGTTAGGGGTTCACAAAGATGATTTTGAAGCTGTGTAGGCTCAAAACACTCAGCGGGTCTCTTCTTATATCCGGTCTCTACTTGGTAAATACTAGTAGCAACTCTCGTTTGTGGCTAAGGTGGGAGGATCTCATAAGCCGAGAAGTTTGGGGATGCAGTGAGCTATGATTATGCCACTGCACTCCAGCCTGGACAACAAGCAAAATCCTGTCTCAAAAACAAAAGCAAAAAACAAATCACCTACACTGTGTTTATCTCACAATTAAAATAATAAAAAAGAAAAAAAAAAAGTATGCAGTCTCTGTAGGTCCCTGAGGTTTGTTGTAATTCAGAAAATGATACCCCAAAATAAAGGCCTCAGGAGCCAAAATTTGTCTCTGAACCTCTCCTGCCCTCCTGTTTCTCAGTCCCATTCTCCCTGGAGTCCAGCCATATAAATGAGAATTCCTCTTCCTCAAGTTAGGCCATAGAAATCAAAACACCTTTTTCCCAGAACCAGCCATAAAACCTAAAAATATTACTCTACCTCTCCCTCTGCTGTTCTGTGTAAACTAGCCATAAAGAAATTATCTGAACTACCTTATTTGACCATAGATCATAAGAGTCCGTTCCAGAGAGGATCCAGACGGAAGCAATGCTGCATAGAGAGCCCAAGAGGAATCTAGACAGACAGGCCCTGCTGGGTTTCCCTACTCAGTTTATTAGCAATCCTATTTCAACATGGCTGCCCACAGTTTGATGAATCTAAAAAATAAAGATGGACAATTTCCCCTGTATCTGGGAGCCTTCACAATGAAGGCTCCCGTGTTCATAAATTGGATGCATTTTATCCTATTAATCTTCCTCTTGGTGGTGGTTTTCAGTGAATCTTCAGAAGCCAAAGAGTAAATTTCCCGTTGGCCCCTACAGGTTCTTATGCTTAATTTGTTATTCTTGTTTAAGACAAAATTAAAGTGTCTTCTCCATAGAATTATTTCTGCATCCACTGTTTGGTAAAACCACTGTTTGGCCGTTTTCTCCTTTGATCTGTTCTTGGTACTAACACACAGAAAAAACATCACTGCCTGTTTTTGTCCACATCTTTTCCCTTTTACTGTAAACTGTCGGCAATACCAGCATAGTTATCATTTCTACTGCTTAATAATTGTTTTGGGCAAGTGAGTGAATCAACCTACAAGAATAGCTTCTTGTCTATTTGATAATTCATTCTCCTTAGGAATAGCGTTAAGTCCTAAGGTCCTGGGAGCCCGCCTCCACACTTGGCAGCTCCGGGGTCCTGCTTCAGTTTCCCAGCTTCTCAGTGCTGTCACTGTCAGTCGTGGGTAGTAAGTATTTTTGTCCATCAAAAGACTCTGTAGGTGAACGAGTTTTTAAATCTGCTGAGTAATACAGTGTCAACCCGGTTAATGATTTGCCAGGCGGCTGGATCAGCAGCTGTCCCTTTACCGCCATTTTCATTTGGAGAGTTATCTAGTGTCTGCAAGCACAAACATCCTACATTCTAAATGCCTTTGGACACAGAGAGATTGAAGCCAAAGAAACATATTTTTTCCTTCCCATGTTCTTGCCAGGCTGTGCAATCCATGCAGTCTCATGGCCCGCCAGTGCTTCAGAATTATCCTCTGTCAAACAAATATAATAATTTCTCTGTCCACTGAAAGACAGAGAAAACTAAGTGCATAGCTACAGGTTAAAAGTTTCTGGTCAGGTGCTGTGGCTCACACTTGTTCATCCAACATTTTGGGAGGCTGAGGCGGGCGGATACTCTGAGGTCAGGAATTCTAGACCAGACTGGCCAACATGGCGACCCCGTCTCTATAAAATATTAGCCAGGTGTGGTGGCTTGCACATGTTGCTCCAGCTACTCAGGAGGCTGAGGCAGGAGGATCGCTTGAGCCCAGGAGGTTGAGGCTGTACAAAAAGAAGTTACCCTCTTTCAAGAGTTCCTGGTTTCGGCTGCCACCTAGTGTCCAGCAGAAAAACAGCATGACATTGCAAATACCTGTGACTGAGGGGTAAGGTGAGAGGTTTGGAGAGAAGGTATTTGAAGAGGACTCCCTTCTCCTTACTCAATGTGGGGCATACTGTAATTTGTGCATTTTGTCGATAGACGGATTTTTTATTGCTTGATTTCAGTTGACACTGTAATATGTGTGTTTTGAGGATGCATGATTTGTAATCAGTCTACAGCACTTCTTAGAGAAGTCTGAATTCTCATTCTCCATTTCCTTATGGACGAAGTGCTAATGATTACAGTGGTGGCTGTCTCATCGGATGTCGGGAGCCAGAATGAAAATAGTGCATGTGATGCTTGGTGCAGAGGACGATTCCGTTAATTAACTGTATTCGTGTTACCGACAACAGTCATGACAGCCTGATAATTTTTAGGAGTGCAAAGAAATTCTGAAATCTAAATGTTTAAGAATCACTGTTCTAGGCTGTTGTCTTCTGTCTTATTTTCTCAAATGCATTGGTAAATACTTGAAGGCAAAGGTTTAACCAGCACATCAACATTTTTGTGTTTTTATTCTTTGGTTCTCTCAGTGGCTGTCTTTCATATCCGATTTCTCACACCATATGATGGTTATATTTGTCTGTGTCTGTCCCTTCGGGTATAAGTCCTGCAGAGGACACGCTGCTTAGCTGATCTTTGTTTTCATTATTTTTCTTGGTGTCCTGTGCTTAACAAGGGCTCATTAAGTATGTAAAAACAGCATAGTGAAAAACTAGACATTAAAAAATAATGCCAACCAATCTACTGAACTTTGAATTTCCATGTTTCCTCCAAAATAGTCATTGTGTTAGATTACGTACTCATTCTGATGAAGGCTATTGCCTAATTCACCTTTGCATCTTGTGCTTTATAACTGCCTTCATTATGGCCACAGACTGAGAAGGTGTAAAAATGTGCATATTCTCACAATTGACAAATTCTTATCCTTTAAGGGTAGGTTTGACTTTCTGAAAGGTTTTGACATCATTTGAAAGAAGCGTGAAGAATAACGTAGCTGTTAACGACCCAGTTTCCTACTCACTTATACAATTATAATGGCAATTTCAAAATGTTAGATAAGTATATTTTGCAATGTATTGTTCCTTTTGTAATACTTTCTATGTCTTTATTTATATTTTTAAATTTTATATGTATTTATTTATTTTTCAGGGACAGAGTCTTGCTCTGTTGCCCAGGCTGGTGTGATCACAGCCCTCTGTAACCTCTAACTGCTGAGTACAAGCACTCCTCCTGCTTCGGCCTCGTGAATAGAGTAGCAGGAACTGCAGGCACATGCCATGACCCACTAATTATGTACTTATTATGCTCCCAATGGCGTGCTTTCATATATTTTCTTTTGGTTTCCCCAACCCATTTCGATGGCATGTTAGGGAATACGGATGCAGTAACTTTGCTCTCAACCCTTGAGATGAGGATATTTGACCTCAGGTTGAATCTTTTAATTGGTGGCCATTTGCCTTCGAAGACTGAAAAACGAACAAAAGTGTGGCTCTGGGTTATACATTTGAAAAAGTTTGTTTCACTGAAGCAAGGCAATAGACTAGAGCCCCTACAATCTTATTTAGGCTAAAAATATCCTAAAAAGCCTGTATTGTTGGTCTCAAGCACACAGCAGCACTTACACTTACTCTTTCACGCAGGCACTGCCAGTGGGGTGGCTATTACGATTAGCCTCATTCAGTTGGTGATTCAGGAAAAAGCAGGGTTTAATTATTCAGAGTTCTGTCCTATACAGGATATGTTAATATTACGTTACCTACATCCAAAAACTGACAGAACCCTACTTAGACTCTAAGGCTGGGCTTGGTGGCTCACATCTATAATGTCAAAACTTTGGGAGGCTGAGGCCAAGAGTTAGGCCATCCTTGATGCCAAAAGTTTCAGACCAGCCTGTGCAACATAGCGAGACCCCTGTCTCAATCAAAAACAAAGAACCCTAAGTGCTAGAGTAGAAGGAGAGAGTGAAAAGAAACCCAGCAGTCGGCCTCATTCCCTATACCTGTTCCAGCAACGCCTGTTACTCTCCTTTGAATGTATCTTGGCTGTTTGAGTCGCTCTCTGGCCCCATTACTGCCTTTGGACTTGACATTGTGCTCTGCATTTTTACCTTTGTCTACCACGTTTTCCAGAGCCTGAAAAGAGTGGCATGAAACAAAACTAGTCAACTTATAGTATGTATGATGTGCGTGTAGATACAAGAATACACAATATATTGCATTACGGTAGTTTAACTCTGTCCTCCATTTGTTGGTGGCTTTCTTGAAGACATAAATTTTGACTGGGGTAACCACAACCTTAATCTGAACTTTCCCTTCGAGATCATCTCAATAGGCTGTTCTTGTTGCTCACAGGCTTGTTCTATCTTATTTCAAAATTTGAGAAAAAAAAAATTTCCATGGAACACCAACCAGATATCAGGATGCTTTGGAGTTGATAGTCAAAAGCTTTGTACCTTCCAGTTTTTTCAAAATGGCTTCTAAAGGTTTTGATTCAGAACTCTTAGGCCAGATTGAACAACCAAGTGTCAAAGTACGACATTAGAGACGTTAAAAATATGATGGACATACATGTACTGTATGTAGTGAGCTTATGTATCGTCAAAGAATGATTTAACTCATTAACAAGGGAGAAGCAGAATCACAATTAGGTCAAAGGAAGTTACAGGAGAATAAAATATGTATTTGGTCAGAGAAAAAATGAAGACTGGAAAATCAGATATAAAGTTGGTTAATGTCTTTTCTTTTCTTTTTTTTTTTTTGAGATGGAGTCTCCCTCTGTTGCCCAGGCTGGAGTGCAGGGGTGCGATTCCGGCTCACTGCAACCTCCACTTCCCAGGTTCAAGCAATTCTCCTGCCTCGGCCACCCCAGTAGCTGAGACTACAGGCAAGGGCACCACCACACCCAGCTAATTTTTGTATTTTTAGTAGAGACGAGGTTTCACCGTGTTGGTCAGGATGATCTTAATCTTTTGACCTCATGATCTGCCCACCTCAGCCTCCCAAAGTGCTGGGATTACAGGTGTGAGCCGCCGCGCCTGGCTAAGGTTGGTTAATGTCTTATTAGGCAATACGATAACAACTTTTGGGGTCATTTCTTTCTATATTAAAAATTCATTTCCATCTCCATGACAAAAGCTGTAGTAATATACTAAACTTCTACAAGTAAATGTCTGGTTTTAAATAATCTGGGATCAAGAAAAAGTAAACATTAAGTCAGTTACTTTCACATAGAGCAGTGTTGTCCAATACAGTAGCATGAGCTACATGTGATCACTGACATTTCGGACCGGAGCTAGTCTGATTTCAAATGTTCAAAAAATGTAAAATACACAGCACATTCTGAAGATTTACTATTTAAAAAATATATAAACTATCTCTTTTTTTAGAATATTGATTATATGTTGAATTCATAATAGTTTAGAAATATTAAATAAAATATATTATTAACATTAATTTTCCTTGTTTCTTTTCATTCTTTCAGTGTGACCACTGAAGTATGTATGTGATTCACATTCTAGTTTACCTTACATCATCAGATAACCCACAGGTAGGCTTTTTACAGATTATCTAATATAGCTTAGAAGGACATGGATACATATTTTTGTCTTGTTTTTAAGTTTTGCATAACTTTTTCAACACACTTTACAAGGTATCTAGTCAAAGACTGGTTACATGTTTCTCTGCCTTCTGGCCTCCAACATGTTGCCAGGAGGTTGGGGACAAGATTCTTGGTGGCTGGATGTCCTAATGGCTTGAGGTCGGGACTTCAGATTTGAATGTAGAGATGTGATTTGATTTAGTCAACTAGAATAATCATATTAGAAAACTGATTCACAGTGATCAAATTTACATGTCGACACCAATATACAGTGAAGGGAGGTCCAGCAACCCAATAATCAAGACTTCTCACAGCTGTTTTCATGGTGGATACACTTAGCTGAAATTTAAATGAGAAGTGGGCTCATTGCACATAGAATAAGATCTAAGTGATATGTACTTATATTATTGTTATTTTTTTTTTTGAGAGGGAGTTTTGCTTTTGTTACCCAGGCTGAAGTGCAATGGTGCGATCTTGGCTCACTGCAAGCTCTACCTCCTTCAAGTGATTCTCCTACCTCAGCTTCCTGCATAGGTGGGATTACAGGTGTGTGCCACCATGCCCAGCTAATGTATTTTTAGTAGAGACAGGTTTTTCCATATTGTTCAGGCTGGTCTCGAACTCCTGACTTCATGATCTTTCCGCCTCAGCCTCCCAAAGTGCTAGGATTACAGCCATGAGCCACCCGCACTCAGCCTATTTCTTTCTCTTTTTTTTTTTTTTTTTTTTTTGGTGACAGTCTTACTCTGTTGCGGAGGCTGGATTGCAGAGGCGTCATCTCCACTCATTGCAACCTCCACTTCCTGCGTTCAAGTGATTCTCTTTCCTCAGCCTCCCAAGTGCCACCACCCCAGCTAATTTTTGTATCTGTAGTAGAGACGGAGTTTCACCATGTTGGCCAGGCTGATCTTGAACTCATGGCCTTGGGTGATCTGTCCACCTGTATTACAGGCATGATCCACGGGCATGGCTTTATATTTATTCTACTACCATATATTAGTGTGATGCAGGTGCTTCAATTGTTTATATACTTTCTGTAATTTTATATGATTCCTTTACCCTGTCACTCTGAGGAATGGCAGGTCTAAAGTGTTTTTCCACCACTGCTAATTCATCTATCTGTAATCTCAGCTGACTGTTAATTCCCAGAGGACATAAGCACACAAGCATACAATGTTTCCAAATGTTGGACCAATGTTTTATATAAGAAAACAATGGGGTCATCCTTAGTCTAAAACATGTTTCAGTTTTCACTTCCCACTGAATTCTATTTGTAGGATCCTTTTGACTTTCCCACAGTCTAAAGCTGTTTTCTTTAACACATATTTTCATGAAAACATACATTTGAGCAGAAAATTTTGGTGAATTGTAATATTCCTTTTGTCACTAAATGTAAATCTATAATTATACCAAATATATGGTCAATTTACCTTGCCTTTAATCTCAAGAAAATAAAATAGCGATTACTCGGAGCCAAAGAGTAAAATAGAAGTGGTGAACCTTAAAGCAGTACCTTTTAGAACAGAATAGTTTCAGAGGGGATGATGAGAAGAGGCGATTTTCAGCTCATCAACGGCAGATCTTATAACAAATGTTGCATGTTCTGGTGCTTTTCCTATCGTACTGTGTAAAAATTTGCTATTTAAAAAAAATTTCAAATCTGTTGTTCATCTTGTAACTCAAGAGTGTGTTCACTAAAGTCAGTTGCTTTATTTTCAGCTCAAAGATATATTTGAGTTCCCAACTGGAGATTGTCCTATACGGTGACTTCTCTAAGGTATGGTTACTGAAAGGAACCTAAAATTTTCCTGGACTGAAATTCATCTCTGTATTGCAGCCTACGAAAATAAATAATTAAATAAATAAACAACTACATGTTTGTTTTCTTTGAAAACAGATTATCTCAGTGCCTCTGCCAAATCTATTCGCTGTTCTTTGCAGGGTTAAGGGGTCTCCCTTCTTTATTATCTGTATCTTGAGGGCCGGACCCCCTGCTTTACACAACTCAGAGGGGGACCTCAGAGCTTTTTAAAAAGAGCCCAATTTCTCGCCTGTAGAGAAGTGAAAAGGATGCCCCGCCCCCATCTATGAAAAGAGGGATTTGATAGTTTCAATGTCTTCAAATCAAAGATTTAAGTCTCTATCCCCTCACCACCCAAGACTCCCCCCAAGGCTTATGCACCCCCTCCCATCCCGACCTAATTGCTTTGGACTGGCCCTGGAATCCTTGTCCCAGTCCACAGTTCCTGTGCGTCTGCACGAAGAATTCACAGAGGACCTGTGTTACTTCCCTTGTGAAGAAGCAGAATTATCATGAAATTTTAGATGGAAACCATTTCGGTTTTTTTTTCAAAAATAAGGGAAGGATGTGCCCAACCATCCCTGGGAAAAAGAACTTTCAGGGGCAAAGGAGTGAACAGGTAATTTATAAGAAAAACAGAAAGTGGTCTCTCACTGCCCCAGACTTCCTTCGGAGTTGGGAGAATTGGGGACTCCTGGACGCGTTGTCTTTGTGGCTGTGGAAAAAATAAATGAAGAACATGAGGCCTGAGGCTTCTGGGATCCTTTCCTGACCAAACCCGGGTGATTTGGTGAGGGGAATCTTAATATTTTTCCCCTTTTGTGAGATGGAACAAACACAACTTGGGAGCAGCGCAGCGGCTCAGAGCCTGCCAGCCAGGCGGGCGCGCAGAGCACCAATCAGCGCGCTCCTGCGCTCTATATATACAGCGGCCCTGCCAGGCGCGGCTTCATCGGCGTTTTGCCACTTGTCCCCGAGTTGTTGGTCCTCAATATGTCCGAGACTGCTCCTGCCGCTCCCGCCGCCGCGCCCCCGGCGGAGAAGACCCCCGTGAAGAAGAAAGCGGCCAAGAAGTCGGGGGCAGCGCCTCGCAAGGCGTCCGGCCCTCCGGTGTCAGAGCTCATCACCAAGGCTGTGGCCGCCTCTAAAGAGCGCAGCGGGGTTTCTCTGGCTGCGCTGAAAAAAGCGCTGGCCGCCGCCGGCTACGATGTGGAGAAGAACAACAGCCGCATCAAACTTGGTCTCAAGAGCCTGGTGAGCAAGGGCACCCTGGTGCAGACCAAGGGCACCGGTGCTTCTGGCTCCTTCAAACTCAACAAGAAGGCGGCCTCCGGGGAAGCCAAGCCCAAGGCCAAGAAGGCGGGCGCCGCCAAGCCTAAGAAGCCCGCAGGGGCAGCCAAGAAGCCCAAGAAGGCGACTGGCGGCGCTACCCCGAAGAAGAGCGCTAAGAAAACACCTAAGAAGGCGAAGAAGCCGGCAGTGGCTTCTGTGACCAAGAAGGTGGCCAAAAGCCCAAAGAAGGCTAAGGTTGCCAAGCCCAAGAAAGCCGTTAAAAGCGCTGCTAAGGCTGTGAAGCCCAAGGCCGCCAAGCCCAAGGTTGTCAAGCCTAAGAAGGCGGCACCCAAGAAGAAATAGGTGAACGCCTGCTTCTAAAACCAAAAGGCTCTTTTCAGAGCCACCACTGATCTCAATTAAAGAGCTGGATATCTCTTTCCTGCTGCCTTGTTTCTGTTTTTGCTCCGCCCTGCAACCATTTAAGGTTAGTTGTATGGGAGTTATTTAAGGTTACCAACAGAGGAGTTGGGGAACGCGGGATGGGAGTGGCAGTGGGGAGTTGCAGCACTTAGACCTGCACCGTGGCTCCCACGACCCCGTCTCCTGTTGTGAGGCATTTTCCGCTGGCGGATGTTTTTAGGATGGCAGTCGGCCCCGCCCCAGGCCTGTGAACGGCAGAAAAGACCGCAAAACAAGAACCAGTTTCCTAAGTCAGAAGGGATGTCCGGTTTGGACTGAAAGTAATTCAAAAGTCCCGCCCTGCCACCGGGTTGGTCCGTTCTTCTAGTCCATGACTTTCAGTCTGTACTTAATTGGGTGGTGGCAGGCGTTGCTTACTGTATTTTGTTCTGCTTTACTGTGATTTAAAGTTTCGCCCCTATTCTCCTGATAGAAGTGTCCGGGATTTCGAACGGTTTACGTCTTGTAGGGTAGGCAAGTTGTGTCTTGGAGATAGTGGCAACATCTAGCCCTGGGAGGAGAGTGTGTGCAGGTACCTTTGTCCTCCTTAAAAAATAACTGCAATAGCCCTTTTCTCCACCCAAGGCAATCGGGGACCTAGGGAGCTTTTTGTTCCTTATGTATTGTTCCGCTAAACTGATAGATTTGAGCGTATCGAAAGCATAACTTTTAACCAGCCATTTTGTCCTCTCATGCCGGTTACTTATCTTCATTTTGGACGGACAATTGAACTTCCTTTAAACGCATTTTCTTTTGCAGTCCAGATGTTTCTACGCGGAGAATAAAGTGTTTATACCATTAAGTAAATTAGTGCATGTATAAATGGGAGACATTTCTAATAAAGGCCTTCGTTAATGGTTCCCTCTATTTGACATGCATGGTGCTTCCGAACACAGAAAGCCTAGAGTCCTATATAAAATCTGGTGAGCACATTTTAGTGAGACCTAAGTTCCGGGGACCAGGGCTTCTGGAGATAAGCTGCTCAGTCTGCCATCTCCACAATGATGAATGTAGTGAGTTAATTTCTCTATTAGTGATGAGTACACATTCATCCCAAGGAAAGGAGAAAGGCGAGGGAGGCAGACGGACACCGAGGTAGAAGCAGGGAAGAAGGAAAAAACATTCTCCCATGGTTTAAGTGATTCTGTGTTAATTTTACGTCACAACATGCTTTACATGATAAACCCTCTATTTTAGTGAAAGATTTAATATGTGGACATATTTTCTCCCAAGACCAATTATGAACTGTTTCTGCTTCCCTTTCTTGCTCCCTCACCACTGCCCCCGCCCCCCAACACACACACCTATCAATTTTGGCAATTTTTGTCATAGAGTAATAGGTTATAATTCCATGGACAGTTGGACTGTCTCAGGTTTCTCAGATTTCTGTTTTGTTCCTTTGGTCATTCCTGCCATTCTTAAGGTAGGATTGTACTGTTTTAAATATTCTTTACAGCGCTACCCTCTGTGCTGAGACAAATAAGTGATACATGGCAGGTGTTCAAATAGTACCTAAATATGTAGTACCTTATGGAGCCTAATGCTCCTTCATAATGCCTGCTCCATTTGCCTTAGTTCATCTAATCACAGACGTTTACATTCTCAAACATCATCACAAGTAGAACAGTAAGATACTTTGAGAGACATCACAGTCAAATAACTATATTTATTTACAAGTCGGAGTCTCTCTGTTACCCAGGCTGCAGTGCAATGGCACGGTCTTGGCTCACTGCAACCTCCACTTCCTGGGTTCAAGCAATTCTCCAGCCTCAGCCTCCCACGTAGCTGGGATTACAAGCGCCCATCACCATACCCGGCTAATTTTTGTAGTTTTAGTAGAGATAGGGTTTTACCATGTGGGCCAGGCTGGTCTCGAACTCCTGACTTTAGGTTATCCGCCAGCCTTGGCCTGCCAAAGTGCTGGGATTACAGGCATGAATCACTGCTCCCAGACTCAAATAATTGTTATTACACTATATTGCTATAATTGTTATATTTTATTATCAGTTACTGTTAATCTCTTACTGTGCCTAATTTATAAATTAAATCCACCATTGCTATGTATGTACAGAAAAAAACAGTGTTTATAGGGTTCAGTACTATCTGTGGTTTCAGGCATCCGCTGGAGGTAGAGTTAAGGAAACATGCTTTTATATTAGACTCTTCCTATTTTTATCCCCAGGGGACTAATGTAAATGCATGTTTAATAAACTGAGATGCTATAACATGGCTTTAATAGCTGATAGAGCTTATTTCCTCTCATTATTCTTTTTCAGAATTTTTTCTGGTTATTCCATTTTTAATTTTTCCATATGTACATTAAGATCCTTTCTACCTCCTGTACCTCCATCTCACATCACACATTAAAAAAATATAAAAAAAAAACCTAAAAGCGGTGGCTCACACCTGTAATCCCAGCACTTAGGGAGGCTGAGGCCAGCAGATCACCTGAGGTCAGGAGTTTGAGACCAACCTGACCAAATCAGACTGGGGGTGGTGGTGCACATCTCTAATCCCGGCTACTCCGGAGGCTGAGACAGGAGAATCACTTGAAGCCGGGAGTCAGAGGTTGCAGTGAGACAAGTTGATGCCACTGCACTTCCGCCTGGGTGACAGAGACTCAGTCTCAAAAAAATAAATAAAAATAAAATGATGGTACATTGAACTTCTGTGTTTCTTTCACTCTCAGATACATTCATGGCTGCCCATTTAGTTGATTTTCACATCAACAGCAAGAGTTAGGAATGGAAGCAACCCAAGCAAAAAGAGTTGATTTTCTAATTTTCTGTCAATGCCCTTTGTGTTCTTAATCTATTGGATTTATATACTTTCCATTAATACTAACTGCAAATGTCTTCTGCAAACATGTTTCCACAGATGAAAGCCATAAAATGAAACACATTGCTTTAATTTACGGAGGTAAACATTACAAAAATTTTCAGTTCTACCTGGGTTTTCAGATTCAGTCTTCCACATATTTTCTCAGTTTTCTTCATGTTCTTTCGTTTTGTTTTATTCCATCACAACTGTTCACATAGCTGACTGTCTTTGGTCTAATGAACCATTCATTTGTATCTAAAAATTGGCCATTTTAAGACGGGAAAGATTCTTTCTTATTTAGTTTTTCAAACTGTCAATAAGGAAACATTTTTTTTCTGTACTCTCAGGTTCACTAACTAGGGTCCTGCAAATTAACAAAGGACAGATTAACACGGGGGAAGAAAGCATACAATTTTATTAGTATATTACATGCACAGAGTTCACAAAGAAAAAAAAGTGAAACCTTAAAAAAGCAGTTAGACTCAGGGACTTATATACCATTCCAACAAAGGAAAGGGAGTTTGCGCCTCACAGGATGACAGATTGTGGGAATGTGACTAGGAAATACATGGGGGAAAAAAAACATGGAAGGTGAAGTGAAAGATAGAAGTTATTGTAAGGTTTGTTTTTGCAGATTCATCTCAGTGCCAAATCTAGTGATAAAAGAGTTGCTCTTTTTTTCCTGTGTAGAAGTTGGGGACACTTTTACAAGGGAAATTTGTCACCTTCACAAAGGGAACATGCCCTGCTTTATTTGGGTAAGGAGAAGACAGAACTCTTCCTATATCTGTTGATTCTCAATTGCCTTCAGCTGAAGATAACTCTTATGCCAAAGTGAAATCATTTGGGGTGATATTATGATATTCTTAAAAACGTATACTCAATTTCACATTATTAATTTTATTTTTATTTTTAAATTAGTTTTATAAAATCATTTTGAAAAACAGTAATAATATTTAAATAATTCCAAGAACACTGCTGATTAGCCAAAAATGTCAATGAATACTGCATAAAGAACTCACTGATAATCATGAAAATTTATGACATTGTTCATGTATGATAAAAGTGTGAGTAACATAAAAACTAGACGCTAACTTTTTTTTTTTTGAGACGGAGTCTAGCTCTGTCACCCATGTGGGAGTGCAATGGCTGAATCTCAGCTCACTGAAATCTCCACCTCCTGGGTTCTAGTGATTCTCCTGCTTCATACACACACTGACCCTATCCCCTTGGGTGGAGGGTGGTGCCCGGCACCACGCCCAACTAATTTTTTCTATTTTAAGTAGAGATGGGATTTTGCCACGTTGGTCAGGCTAGTCTGGAATTCCTGCCCTCAGGTGATCCACCTACCTCAGCCTCCCACAGTGCTGGGATTACAGGGGTGGGCCACCAAGCCTGGTGCTTTATATTCCAATTACACGCAGTACTCTCCCGGCTAAAAACTTATATATGATATTACACACCCCTAGGCAAAACTCTCGATATTTTGGCAACATAAGCCTGAGAGAAATGTAGAAGGGGCCTTGTGGTTGAAATTCCTGCTAGAGATGAACAGGCCCAGGACAAGACAGAATTACGTTGCTGAAGGATTTCAGAAGAGAATAGGGATTGAGGGTTCTGTGGCAACAACAGCTTTGGGAACCAGCATTACTGGTGCACTTATTTACAATATGCCAAGCACTTTGCTCTTTATATTTATTTTCGAACACATTCTTGTCACTGCACTTTGAGGTTGGTTCCTTTGTCATTCCCACTTCAGAGATGAAGAATTAAAGCTTGGTGGCATTCAAGATGTAGCTAGTTAGCTGTGTGTATGTGAACGGTTTTTGTTGTTGTTGTTGTTGTTTTTAAGTCAATAAATTTTTATTCAAGGAATTTCACATCAAGGTCACCATAGTTCCTCTGAAGAGCTACATCTTCAAAAGATTCATCTTCAAGTTAGCCCTCCTTAATACAACTGATGCGTAATCCACAGTCGTCAGCCCACAATTCTTTTATTTTGCCTTCTTTTATCTCCATTTGAATATGAATATAGTGGTGAAACTTCAACATTCTTCACCAAGAATCTTTGAGCTGTAATTTCTTCAACCACTTCCACCTGGGGTCATTTTAAAATTAGGTGTATCTGCCTGGTTCTCAATTTGACAAACTTTCTCTCTAAACATGACTGAGTTCAAATCATATTTATTCCTAAGCTATCATACTCAAGTATCCTACAAAGCAGTGGAATATGCCAAAAGTTAAGATAAAAATTAAATTATTAGGTATTTCATACTTTTGACTAGTTTTTGAACTGCGAGTGAAGATAACATACTCTGTGTCCTGGCACTGTTCCTTGGAACCATAGGGACCACATATTTAATTTTAAATATTCTAGTAGCCACATTTTAAAAAGTTTAAAAAAAACTGAAATGTACTTTAATGATTTTAATCTAGTATAATCAAAAATTGTCTAAACAAGTTATCTAATATTAAAATATTGAGTTTTTACTTTGTTTTTTTACTAAGTCTTTGAAATCTGGTGTGTATTTTACACTTAAAGCACATCTCGGTTTGGACTAGCCACATTTCAATGCTTAATAGCCACATGTGACTAGTGGCTATCATCTTGGACAGGACAGCGTTTACACTCTGGGAAGACACAAGCAAACACTTGCTGTGCAGCAGGATACAGTTTTCCAAGAAAATAATTTTTCTGACCTGTTCCTTAAACCCAGAGAGTGTCTCTAATACTTTGTATTTTATTGGCTTGTTCTGTTGTAACTGCCCAGGGGGCTCTCCTTGTCCACTGCCTAGACACAGCCAAGTTATCAAGACAGGGCAACTTCGAGTAATTCACATGGAGCTGGCAGTATGAGAGACTAAAGTTTCATTATTACTCAAATCAGTCTCCTTGAGAATTTGGGAACCAAAGTTTTTTGTTGTTGTTGTTTTTCGTTGTTTGTTTTTCAGACAAAGTTTCACTCTTCTTGCCCAGGTTGGAGTGCAATGGTACCATCTGGGCTCACCACAACCTCTGCCTTCCGGGTTCAAGGGACTCTCCTGCCTCAGCCTCCCAAATAGCTGAGATTACAGGTGCATGCCACCACACCCAGCTAATTTTGGATTTTTCGTAGGGAATGTGTTTCTCCATGTTGGTCAGGCTGGTCTTCAACTCCTGGACTCAGGTGATCCACCCGCCTCGGCTCCCAAAGTGCTGGGATTACAGGCGTGAGCAACGGTGCCTAGTGGGGACCAAAGTTTTTACAGATAATTTGGTTGGAAGGGGACCAGTGAGTCGGGCGTGCTGATTGGATCAGAGATGAAATCATAGGGAGGGTAAGCTGTCTTTGTGTTCTAAATCAGTTCCTGGGAGTGGTGGGGTGGGGGATACAAGACCGGATAATTCAGTTTATCTATCTGGGTGATGTCAGCTGATCCATTGAGTCCAGGGTCTGCAAAATACCTCAAGCATCATCTTAGGTTTTAAAACAGTGATTTTATCCCCAGGAGCAATTTGAGGAGGTTTAGAGTCTTGTAGCCTCCAGCTGTATGACTCCTAAACCATAATTTATAATCTTGTGGCTAATTTGTTAGTCCTGCAAAAGCAGTCTGGTTGCCAGGCAGGAAGGGGATTTGTTTCTAAAAGGACTGTAACCATTTTTGTTTCAAAGCTAAACTGAGTTCCTCCCAAAGTTAGTTAATCCCAAGCTCAGGAATCAGCAAGGACAGCTTAGAGGTAAGAAGCAAGATGGAGTTGGTTAGACCAGATCTCTTTCACTATAATAATCTTCGCAGTTATGGTTTTTGTAAAAGCAGTTTCACTATCCACTTTGCCTCATATCATGCCTCTGACTAGAGAATTCCAACAAAACTTAGGCCCTGCCACACCACCATGTCTCCCTGTCCTCCCTGAAGGAGTCCAATTTCTGAAACAAAGGAAACTATATATGATAGTATAAAACTATATATGAGAAGGAAAATATATATGATAATCCATTCTAAGGTTATCTTATTGATTAGAAGATATTAAAGTATGGGTTGACAGTGCCTAGCAGTATCTGCTGGTAGTATGAATTTGGTCGGTTCCTGAGACTAATTCCTGAGACTGAGCCTCCATTTCTGTAAAATGGAGACAATAAGACAATTTGCATTACAGTGCTGAAGAATTTTACATAAATGATAAATTAAAAAAGAAAAAGAATTTTACATAATAATTCAGATCAACCACTTCACATGGTACTTGACCCATGGAAAACTCAGTACTTCTCAATTCATAGGGTGCTCCTGCAGAGATGTGAATAGAGTGGTAAGATGATGAAGAAGGCCACATATAATTTGAAAAAGCACGGCCAGTGATCTGAGGCAGATTTATCATGAAACTCAAGTGTTTGGACCTACACTTCCAACGTGCTCAGAGGGACCCTACGAATGGGTTACTTTCCCTTTTTAAAATTTGCATTTTAATCACAGATAGTCACAACTGTTATTTATTTCTACTCAATCCTCCTTTCTGTTAAAATTCACCATTGTCTGATTATGTTGGAATGCTGATGAAAATACTTGAAATTTGAGTAAGAGAAAATTCAGCTGAAGATATATCTAGTATGGGGATAAGTTATGTGATTTGCATATGTGTTCATGTGTAGTTCATTCCTTACTGGTTAACATGATGTAAGAATGGCTTCAAGGAATGTTCTACTGCTCACTAGAGTAACTCACCTGGCAAGATAACTTCCTGGCAAGATACAGGTCTAGATAACATATTATGACGTCTAAGTATTCAAAACACCTTCCCAGCACTGAGCGTGAGCATCTAAGGGAGAGTACAAATGTATGGAGCCAGAAGCTTGTCTGGAAATAATTCTTAGAAACTTTATAACTTATATATGAAAGGAGCTTGACAGAGGATTTTCCAAATTTGAAAACAATCCTAAAAACTTACTTGACATTACCAATGTGTTTTGAAATTGAAACTCTTCTAAGTTATCAGGAAAACAAATTATCATCAGCTACACTGGAGGAAAGATGGAATTTTCTATTACCTATAGACAGTATTACAAAATAATTTCGATCTGGAGATGGAATCAGTATTCAGTCCAAACTATAGGAAAATACACATTGTAGTGTCATATTCAGAAGTTAAAAAAATACATTATTTTTAGAAATTTGTGATATGTTATTTCATCTGCTTTTATAAATTTGAAATTTGATTTTTTAAATTATAAATTAATATTTACTGTCTACACTACTTTTGCATTTTTAGTTTTATCTTATAGGTTTTAATGGTTAACAAGTTGTAAAAGCTTTGAGCACCAGGAAACCTTGATCTATCCCATCATATCAAATCTTGTATACTAGCATTTACAAGATTTAAGAAATTATCATTTAAATAAATTTTTAAATATTAAAAGGGTACATGGATAAAAGAGCTTTGCAGTTGCTTATCCTTCATTATCTCAAGGCGCCCCGGATTTTAAGCAATGGCTGCATAATCTTTGGTTGACTATAGGCAAATCTTGTGTATTTCTTGTTATATAAACCTATCTAGTGGACTTCGGGCAGTGTGTACTGAGGCCTCCGCCTGAGCTGACTCCACTTCTAGCATACCAATTTCAGTACCGAATGTTGGAGTCAGACGTTAATGTTGCAGGACTTTAGAAAATATGAACTTTGACCTAACGACTTAATGATACTGTCAGACCTAAAAACCGTTAGGCGAATTAAAAGCAGTGATGGCACTGCCAGGAGCCTATTTTATTCAAAACGTGTTAGTAATACACATCCTATGAGACAAGACACCTAATATTTAGCAAGGGCAAGTCTTGAGTCAATTGTTTTCTATAAATACGACCCTTCCAAATGAAAAGGCTGTAGGTAAACTCACCAGCACTGTTACTGAAAACCATTAGTTTTCACTAACACACCTTTAAAAACCTTTACATGTTCTAGGCATTGATGGGACAACCGAATTGGTTACAACTGTTTAAGTGAAATTTTAAGTGGCTCTGAAAAGAGCCTTTTCAATTAGGGGTAAATGGGCAGATTTACGCCCTTTCCCCACGGATGCGACGTGCCAACTGGATATCTTTGGGCATGATAGTGACGCGTTTAGCGTGAATAGCACACAGGTTGGTGTCTTCGAAGAGCCCCACCAGGTAGGCCTCGCAGGCCTCCTGCAGCGCCATCACCGCAGAGCTCTGGAAGCGCAGGTCGGTCTTGAAATCCTGGGCGATTTCCCTCACGAGACGCTGGAACGGCAGCTTCCGGATTAACAGCTCAGTGGACTTCTGGTAGCGGCGAATTTCGCGCAAAGCGACGGTGCCGGGACGGTAGCGGTGCGGCTTCTTCACTCCGCCAGTGGCCGGAGCGCTCTTGCGGGCCGCTTTGGTGGCAAGCTGTTTGCGCGGCGCTTTGCCGCCGGTGGACTTGCGAGCTGTCTGCTTCGTACGAGCCATTTGCAACGGAAGCCGACTCAAAAACGCAGTCAGAGAAGTTGCCTTTATATAGAGTGAGAAACATTCTGATTGGGCCTGTGATATTTCAAAAGTCCCGCGCGATAAAATCATTGGCTGAAGAGTGGCCCTCACTGATTGGTTCATTACTAGACAATCTTATTGGATGAACTGTCCACAGCCCGCCTGGTCCTTTTTCAGTTATCTGAAGCGATATTATCTTAAATTCTAGTTTATCCAGTACCCAAGAACAGTATGCATAACAAAGCATCTAAGGATTGTTAAAATGTAAATTACGACTCGGTAAGTTTGAGTCGGACTTTAAATTCTGCATTTCTGACCGTCTCGCCAGTTATCAATGCTGGTGAATACTCACTAGACTACCAGAAACGTTTACTGACTCGTTTGAAAATGCTTCAATTCAGAGAATGAAAATTCTACGTTACTAGCCAACAGCAAGTGTCCTTGCCCTTTGTTATCCAAGTCCAAGTCACATTCCCACCCTGCTTGTTCTCAAAATGTCTTATTTTGGTTTGCCCTGAGTTTCACTTTGTTTACTCTACAGTGTTATTTCTTACGGCATTATTTTCTCGAAACTTTTTAATACCAGTAGGCTGGGGACGGTGGCTCACTCCTGTAATCTCAACATTTGTGGAAGGCCAGGGGACAATGGGAGGCGTTCAAGACGACCCTGGCATGGTGAAACCCCGTCTCAAATAAAAATACAAAATTTAGCTGGGTGTGTTAGCAGGCGCCTGTAATCCTAGCTACACAGTGAGGCTAAGGCATGAGAATCGCCTCCGGGAGCCGGAAATTGCAGAGCCGATTTCGCGCCGCTGCACTCCACCCTGGGTGATAGAGCGAAAACTGTCTCAAAATAAACCAAAACAAACCAAACCGAAAAAATACCAAGTCAGATACCATCCTTTTTCGTGAAACTGCGGACGGCTCTGAAAAAATTCCGTTTCAAGTGTAAGGTACGTTTTCTGGTATGAGAGAACTTTACTTGCCCTCATCCTTGATAGCTGTTTTCTGGAGCAGGACTTAAATTGTCCTGAAAATTGGCCAGGACACAGCCCTGAGCGATAATGACTCTGGCCCAGCAGCTTGTTAAGCTCCCGGTCGCTGCAGATGGCCACCTGCAGGTAGCGCGGGATGATGCGGGTCTGGTTTTCACTACGGCGTTGCCCGCCAGCTCCAGGACCTCGGCGGCCAGGTACTCCAGGTACACCGGCGCGCCGGCTCCGACCGGCTCAGCGTAATTGCCCTTTCGAAAAAGACGACGGACTCTGCCCTACTGGAAACTGCAAGCTCGCTGGCAGACAACAAGTTTCTGCTTTAGCTCGAGTTTTATCTCCCTGTTTTCCACATACGGACATAGCAATCTATGCAAACAGCAAAATCTTGTTAGCTCTTCAACAAATCCTTTTATACAAAGTGGAAGGCTGCAATAAGAAGCTATCCTATTTGTCAGTTATGTTGGGTTTCTGTGTCCGTTAGAAAAAAAAGAACGTAATTTCCGTATTTGCATAAACCCCACCCCTCTGTGAAATTGTTTCTTTTGTCCAATGAGAAGTGACAACTCTTAAACCATCATTTGAATTTCAGGACTATAAATATATGGACTCTGAACTGTTCTCTCTGCTACTCCGTCCTGGAGCGTGCTGTTAGCGTTTCTCTTCTGCTTCAGAAAAGCAATGCCCGAACCCTCTAAATCTGCTCCAGCTCCTAAAAAGGGCTCTAAGAAAGCCATAACTAAAGCGCAGAAGAAGGATGGTAAGAAGCGTAAGCGCAGCCGCAAGGAGAGCTACTCCATCTACGTGTACAAGGTGCTGAAGCAGGTGCACCCCGACACCGGCATCTCCTCCAAGGCCATGGGGATCATGAACTCCTTCGTCAACGACATCTTCGAGCGCATCGCGGGCGAGGCTTCCCGCCTGGCGCATTACAACAAGCGCTCGACCATCACCTCCAGGGAGATCCAGACGGCCGTGCGCCTGCTGCTGCCTGGGGAGCTGGCCAAGCACGCCGTGTCGGAGGGCACCAAGGCCGTCACCAAGTACACCAGCTCCAAATAAGTGCTTGTGTAGGCACCTCCAAATTCAAAGGCTCTTTTCAGAGCCACCTACTTTGTCAAAAACAGAGCTATAACCATAACCCTGTTAGAGTGGTGCTATTGCTGTTCTGTTTTCGTTCTACAGGATCACCTGGAAAGTTAGCGAAGGCAAGTTGTAGAGCCAAGGTTAAATTGGACGGGGTCAGGCACGGAGGCACAATCCTTCAACCCCAGCACTTGAGGTCAAGAGTTTGAAACCACCCTGACCAAGATGCTAAATCTCCGTCTCTACTAAAAACACAAATGTTAGCCAGGCATGATGGCATATGCCTGTAATCCCAGCCACTCGGGAAGCTGAGGCAGGAGAATCGCTTGAACCCGGGAGGCAGACATTGCAGTAAGCCGAGATCGAGCTACTGCATCTAGTCTGGGAAAGAGACACGTGGAGGGTCCTTCGGCTTTAAGGAATACGCACCCCGAATAAGGCTTTCTCATCTTCATTTAACAGACTTTGTCCCCCCTCGGTAAGCCTTCGGGTAGACTAATTCCTTTCATACGGTCACTACTCCCTGCCTGTACTGGCACAGGAAACTAATTTCCTTCCTGAGTAATGAAGCAGATAATGGAATTCAGGGTACAGTGTTTCTGTGGAGGTCATTGGTCGTTAACCCCTTGTGAGATACGGGGGAGGGGGGCAGAAAAGTCTAAGCGATGAGGGCATATAGGCATATTTGCTCCTGCAGCTTGCCTACGCGGTAAATTCTTAATCGAAGTCTGATTTCCCGGCCTCCTTTATGGGGTATATTTCCTGCTCTACAAAATGAAATTGTAGTGGTTTCCCGTTATTGTTGTTTGTTTGTTTGTTTGCTTATTTTGAGACGGAGTCCCGCTCTCTTCAGGCTAGAGTGCAGTGGTGCGCTCGGCTCACTGCAACCTCTGCCTCCCGGATTCAAGCGATTCTCCTTCCTCAGACTCCCGAGTAGCTGGGACTACAGGCTCGAGCAACCACGCACAGCTAAATTTTTAGCCGAGAAGGGGTTTCACCATGTGGGCCAGGCTGCTCTCCATCTACTGACCTCGTGATCCGCCCACCTCGGCCTCCCAAAGTGATGAGATTACAGGCCTGAGCCACGGCGCCCGGCCCTTCCCTTATTGTTTATCAATGACAACAGTTTATGTAGCGTGCGTATTTCATGCATCCCAGAAATCAGGATTTCCATTTCCTAGGCCGCTTAACTTTCAAATTTCCAGCTCTGCGAGAGAAGAAGGGGTTTAAATTTTGTGCCCTTCCACATCTGGCGCCACTGCAAATCTTACTAGGAGGACCCTACTTGGAGAGGGAAACTTTTTTCGAGGAATCTGGGATGCCAAAGACAATATAGCTACAAAAAGGTAGGAAGGGCACTGGTTGAGGAGGAGGAGTCAATGGGCCTCCCCTGAGTCTGGGGCTTGGGGAAGAAATGCAAGAAGAAAAGACATCTGTTGACTGCTCACTAAGTAGGAGTGGGTGGGGGAATCAGAGGGGAGCATTCTGAGGGAATTTATGGGCATTATGTGTAGGTAACATTCAGCAGTGTCTTTGGATGAAGAAATAGAGTTTCTCAAACAGTTTTTATTTTTGTTTTGAGACAGGATCTTGCTCTGTTGCCCAGGCGCCATCATAGCTCACTGCAGTCTCGGCTTCCCAGCTCAAGCGATCCTCTTACCTCAGTCCCTTGAGTAGCAGGAACTATAGAAACGCGCCGCCACACTTGGTTAATTTTTTTACCTTTTGTGGAGACAAAGGGTCTTCCTATGTTGCCCAGGCTGGTCTTGAACTACTGGGCTCAAGCTATCCTCTGGCCTTGGCCTCCCAAAGTGCTGGGATGACAGGAATGAGTCATAACGTCCGGCCCAGATTTAATTTTTAAGAATATTTTAGGGCCAGGCACGGTGACTCACGCCTGTAATCCCAGCACTTTGGGAGGCTGGGGCGGGGGGTGGGAAACGGGGATCACAGGTCAGGAGTTCAAGACCAGCCTGGCCATCACTGTGAAATCCCATGTGTAGTACAAAAAAATACAAAAATTAGCTTGGCTTGGTGGCAGGTGCCTGCAATCCCAGCTACTTGGGAGGCTGAAACAGAGAACTGCTTAAACCCTGGAGGCAGACGTTGCAAAGAGCTGAGATCATGTCACTGCACTCCAGCCTGGGCTACAGAGCGAGACTCCATCTCAAAAAAAAGAATGTTTTAAAACAGGTTCTCAGCCGAGTGTGATGTAGCTCATGCCTGTAATCCCCGCACCTTAGGAGGCCAAGGTGGGAGGATTGCTTGAGCCCAGGAGTCCACCAGTGTAGGCTACTAAGTGAGACCTTGTCTCCACAAAAAATTTAAAAGTTAACCCAGGCGTGGTGGCACGTTTCTGTAATCCCAGCTACTGGGGAGACTGAGGTGGGAGAATCACTTGAGCCTGGAAGGCAGAGATTGCAGCTAGCTGTGATGGTGCCAGTGCACTCCAGCCTGGGTGAGGAGCTAGACCCTGTCTCAAAAAAAATAAAAAAATAAAAAAATCTGAATGTCACCCAAACTCTCAATGACCAACTGTATGTGAAGCACTTCCCATCCTAGTACTGTATATGCAAACTATTGTTGCGAAAGAGACGCTTGGCTTAAAAATCAATAATTTTTTTAAATTATAAAACAAACACCTTCCCCCAAAATATTACTAAGGAATTGAGACTGCATTTTAAGAAACTGATCTTCCCTAGAGGAGTAAGACCTGATAATATTAGCATTTCAAAATGAACTTTTGGGCTAGGTGTGGTGCCTCACGTCTGTAAATCCCAGCACTTTGGGACGCTGAGGCAGGTGGATCACTTGAGCTCAGCAGTTCAAGACCAGCCTGGGAAACAGGGCAAAAATCCCATCTCTACAAAAGGATACAAAAAATCAGCTGGGCGTGGCGGCGTATGCCTATAGTTCCAGCTACTGAGGAGGCCGAGGTGGGATAATCAGTTGAGCCTGGGAGGCAGAGGTTGCAGCAAGCCAAGACAGTGCTACTGCACTCCAACCTGAAAACAGAATGAGCAACAGAGTGAGAAAAAACCACCACCCCCCAAAAGAAAACCCGGCATGACTTGTTTAAAAAAATTAAATTTAAAAACTATGAACTTTGGACATCAAAATTGTTTTGTCATACTATCTTTCATAAATGTTGTTGCCTGCCTGCCTTCTTCCTTTGTTACAGAACTCCAGCACTTCCCCAAAGGTAGCTGTTGGGTCAGGATTTCTGCACTGCAGTCCCTTCTATGGTCGCCAGAAATATGTTACAGGAAAGAAGTCCCAATCCAGACCCCAGGAGAGGGTTCTTGGATCTTGCCCAAGAAAGAGTTCAGGACCTGTCTGCAATGCAAAGTTTACTAAGAAAGTAAAGTGGTGAAAGGACAGCTACTCCATAGATAGAGCAGGACGTTCCAGAAAGTAAGAGGAGGAAGGCATCCACCCTCGGTACAATGCCTGTACGTGTGCGGAGATGTGCTCTGCCACAAGGGTTTTGATAAAGGATTCATTTTCTTGGTTACTATATTTTGCAAGAATCGACATTATTATCTTTAAACAAAATTAGGAATGTCTTTGTTCTCCAGATATCAGGATATCCGGACACTCCCAAGTCTGGGTCTGTTTAGTAAACATTATTAATTTGTTCCCTTAACCATAAACATCTAGAGGCAAAGAATGCCTGGCTTTCTGGGAATGCAGCCCAGCAAGGCCCAGCCT